TCGCTCACAGCGCAGACGCACAAAGAGGCTCTGCAGATTTTCTGCATCGCCTCCAACAGGTTTCCTACACAGAAAGGTTTTTCTGGCCAACATTTCTAGATGCTCTTATGCATTCTGTCATTTCAGGACATAAGCAAAACATCTGGAAGCCGTTTTCTTTTTTCTCTCTCTCTCTTGCATTAAAGAAAAAACTATACTGTGCAAAATATATGCATTATTCTCTTTTAAAAAAAATGAAATGCAACATTTTTGCCTGCCAAACCCCACGGGCTCTTTTGGGCAAGGCAGCTGCTAATGAAGGAAAGCAGTCGCCCTCCTCTCTGTTCTCAGGCAAGAACCAAAAACCGCCCAGTACTTGACAGTTTCTCTGACGACGAGGGGTCTGGATGTGTTTCAGTGCCTGGCCCCCTCTGGAGCTGCTGCCTTAGATGGGCAGGGGGAAGGGCCTGGGACCCCCAGACTGGGAGCGTGTCGTAACCCCTTCTCCCAATCACTCGAGGTGAATAATGCTTATCCTTTTTCAAAATCACACAAGCTGCTAGACCTCATGGTTTACTGATGGAAACCACAAATCCTCTGCCCAAGGGTCCCGCGGACTGCCCTTCTGTCCCTTCCAGCAGATTTCCCCTTCTCTCTCTAACAGAACGGATACAGCTTGTTTCTGCACTGGCCTGGCGATTGGGCCAGGCGACCCCCTTGGGGTCCCTTCCAGGTCTACCATCTTGTGAATCAGAGGGTCCTGGGACCTTGCCGCCCACAGAGAGCGCTGCCAGTTCTCGGCCCCTTCGGGCAACGGCTGTCTCCGGGGAGACCTCCAGTGGGAGTCTCGGTCACAAACAGGGACAAAACCAGTCTCGACGGGGGCAGGGAAGGAAGGGGCAACTGGTCCCCCACCGAAGCGCAAAGGGAGGAGGGGCGCAAGACGGCAGGAGGCCTGCTTACCTCCGATCCGAGGGGTACAGCTCTACCGTCAGGACGTCCAGGGCGTTCCACGAAGCTATGCTGACCCCACCAAAGAGGCAGAGGAGGGCGATCATGGCGGACTCGCTGTTGCCGAAGGACAGGAAGAAGCAGCTCACGCAAGACATGACGCTCGACCCGGCTTCACAGACCCAGAGGAGGAGGAGAGAGAAAGAGGAAGTCACTTTCAAAATCATCCTCACTCACAGTGCAGAACCAAACCAGAGCCTTGAAACTGGGTCAGATCCAAGGTCTCTCGAGGTCAGCCTTCCAACATTACAGACCCACAAGCAACACACGGTGGTTGCACACGGGCCTCTGGCACCATACCTGCGTGTGCGCGCATGCGTGTGTGAGAGAAATCGATCTATAGTGACCCCATCAAGCATTCATTTGATGGCCTTCTCAACCCTGCATTTCATCTGATCCTCCTTAAAAAGAAAATGCAGGACGCTCCACCGCTTAACTCTGGGCAACTGAAAACGCCCTCCTTGGATCCATCGTAGCCATTCCATCCCCCAGAATTCCCTGCCCTATTGGCTGAAGGATTCTGGGAGTTGTAGTCCAACGAGGACCTTTCCAACCTTATGGGATGATGATGCTGGTCTGGCAGACCACCCCGGGGGCTCCTACACCCCAAAGGACACCCCCCTTCTTTGGCCTTCTTGAGAGAAGGGGGACAGTCAGCTGGTGAAGATCGTCAGGAGAAAGAAACGAGGGTGGCAGGAAGAGGCCCGCTTCGGGTCATCAGGGCTCACCCAGCATCCGGAGGCGCCCAATCTTGTCCATCAGGAGCGCCGAGACGATGTTCCCGGGGAGCACAGCCAGGGTGCCGAGGAAGCTCACAAAGTAGATCATGTAGGCGTTGTTGTCGTCGCTGAAGTCCAGCTGGCAGCCTTCCTTGTTGTGCAGAAAAGTGCTGTTGACGATCCGGCAGTTGATGAACTTGTATTCAAAGAGATCTGAGGGGGAGGCAGGGAGAGAAAGGCAAGAGATCAGCAGCTACACCATCTCCCACAGAGGACAGAAGCAAACTGGGCACCAGAGCTGATCCCGACAGAAAAGATGCCACACAGGGAGGGCACCAGGAGATAAGATCCCTCCCCCCTTGTGGGACCTGTTGGCTTACCTGTGTTGTAGAAGACGGAGGCGATGAAAGTGCAGTTCTTGAAGAACGTATTGCTGGATGTTATATCCTCAAAATAGCACTCCTCAAACAAGGAGTCAACGAAGGAAACAGACTTCATCTTGAGGCCAATGAATCTGGCGACGAAAGACAACGAGAGACAGAGAGGGATTTGCTGACGTAGATTTCGCGGATAGAAACCTGGCAACTAAAGACACCCACCCCACCCCACAAATCACACACCAGTTCCTCTGAACGGAGGGCCTGTTCAGGTAAATGTGTATTTCCTGCTCTGGCACAATCAATACTGTATTTTTACTATGTTTTTGTACTTTTGTACTGTATTTTTAATTGTATTTTGATTGTTTTATCTTTTTATTGTATTTAAATGGTTGTAAGCTGCGGCATATAAGTTAAATAAATAAACAAACAAACAAACAAACAAACAAACAAACGCACGCACGCACGCACGCACGCACGCACGCACGCACATACATACATACATACATAACATGCCCACAATCCCAGGACACATTCCAACAACAAGCACCTTCCTGTTTTTCATGATGTTTTCACAACTACACCTTTTTCACCACTTGAGGGAGCACTCCTTCTAGTGAGGCAGTGAGACAGAGTATCATGAATCCGTACCAGTCCCGGCCGTGTTTGAAGGCAAGGACCCTTCTCTCGGGCTTTGTCCACCCACAGGAATGTATGGCACAGGTTCCCTCTCGACCCATTCAAAGGAAAAAAGAAACGCACACACACACAAGCCAGGGGCCTACTTGTCGTTGAAGTACTCCCCGCGGCTGTGGATCTGGTTCTCCAAGGTGAAGTTGAAGGTAATGTGCCGGACGGTCTCGTCAATGAACACTTTTGTGCGGGAGGCATACTCGATGTTCTGGAGGTGTTTGATCATATCTGGGAACCAGACGGTCAAGCCGTAGTAGCTGTCACCAAAGAACCGAGGGGAAGAAGAGAGAAAGGGTGGCAAGAATGAGGAGGGAATGAAAGGAGCCATATATTTGAAGAACAGGGCATAACCAGAGAGTCATGCCAAAAAACGAGGTAGCCTTCCAGGCCATAAAGCCACTCTCCAGATCCGTATATATGAAAAGATCCGTATATACCAAAAGGAGGGAAGGAAAGCAGGCTGCTTGTAGGTCCCGAGCGTGAAAACCTCCCGCTCAAGGTGGGAAAAAGTGAGACTATTCTGCTCCTGGCCTGAGGCGGACTTTAGCAGGACTACCATCCCAGCCTGCCTTGACTGACAGAAATCCCAGCTTTTGCTAATGAGGATCACTGGGGGCTCCCCACAGCCCAATTAGCCAGGTAACCGCTTGGCCACCCTGTGTGCGGCGTCGCCAGCCTGCAGTCACCACAGAGCAGTGAGCTGCCTGCAATTAATTTTTACCTCCTGGCTCCAATTAACGTAGTGGCTGGGAGATCAATCGGAGAACTACAGCTCTTGACGTCAGGTTCCCTCCCCCAAGATATATTGGCAAATGAACTAGGTGGTTACCGGGCCTTGTTTAAAAAGAAGCGATCGTAGAAGACAGATTAGAATTGCTCTTTACGCTGCCACACAAATTGGTGCCCTTTGATTCTCTTTGCATCGCGGGCTGTGTCACATGAATTAAAGATCATTTCAATATTTAATTGTACCACTGGCTGAATTCTTTCCCGGTAATGATCTCAGAGATGGGTCTGCCAGAGGGGCGGATGGGACCATAAGGATGTTTTCAGCAGTTTGGAAGAGCGATCCTGGAGGCACTTTAGCGGAAAATAGGGCATAATCTCTGTATTCCCAGATGCCCTGCATGGTACAGTCCTCCACCCCAGAGAAGTCCTTCGCCTCCCTCCTCCTCCCTGCCTGCTGATGGAGCCCCACCTGAAGGACATGGTGAACCACACGGCCATCATCATTAGCGTCACCCGGCGATACTCAGGGGCAAAGCACTGGTGAAAATTTGCCCAGACCTGAAAAGACAAGAAAGCCACGATGGGACCACTGGGGAAACAAGAGGTGGGCTTCTGTGGCCTTCCCTGACCTATGCCTCTGGGGCTAGCCCCCTTTCGACAGTCCTTTGCCTGAATCGTGAAGCGTCTGCGAGGCTTTCTGGTTGCTCAGGGTTAAAAAGTGCCAGCTACGGAATGCTGCCAAACAGTGCAGGTTCTCTTGTGGTAGTGAAAGGCCAGTCTGGTTGGGCCCACAGGGCACCCCCTTCCTCAACGCCTCCCGTTCTCGCCACCCACCTGTTGCGAAAGGTTCAAGAAGCGGACCATCCAGCGTCGGTACCAGGTCCCTGTGTCGGACTGGATCTCGACCAGTTCATCCTCCTGCTTGATAGTTTTAATATGGGTCACCTGGAGGAGAAGATGTTGGTGAGGGAGAGGGAGCTGGCGGGGAAACCTCTCTTCCTCTCTCTTCTCTCTCAGGGCACAGTCAACAAAGACACACACCCTCAAACGTTCCTGTGATACGACTCTTATTCCTATGCCTCAGTTTCTCATGTTCAGATCTGCAACAGGGGGTGACCTCAATCTGTAGTATTCTTCCCCCTGCCCCCCCTCCAGCATCTTCTTCTGTGGTAGAGATGGCTAATCATCAGACCCCAGCCTGCCCCAGACAATCAATTCAATTTTTTAAAAAATCGATTTGAAACCTTATTATTATTATCCCCCCCCCCCAAAAAAAAGAGAGAAAGGAGAGGCGAAGCTCCGCTTTGCTCTTACCGAGAAGACCCGCTCAGGGTGGCCCTTGGCTCTCATGTTGGTGTCGTGCACCTGCTTCAACACCATCCAGGCCTCGTCGTGTTTCCCGTTCTGCAAAAGCCCAGCCATGAGCTGTAACGAAAATCCCCTTTTCCCCGCTTTGCCCCTGCCTGCCTGCCTGCCTGCTCCTACCTGCTCCTGCCCTCTCTTTCTGCGCAGGAAGGTAAAGACAAAAACAGCAAATGGACACCTTTTTAGCACAGACAAGGATGGCCAGAAAAGTTTCTAATTAATAAAAAATAAGTAAAAAGAGGCCTGCTGGAAAAGCTTGACGCTCCACGACTCCATCCAGTTAAGACCTGCCCACTCTGTCTGGGAGACCCAAAGGCAGTCTCTCGAGGTTTATGTCTCCACTTTATCATACTCAAAGGCAGACTACCCCTGGGCCTGGAGGCTCCACTCCCGTCTATCTTAACTAATAAATGCACAAGCGGCAGCTCAGAATTTTTCAGCTGAAGAAACCAGGAGATGGAGTTGGCCTCCGGCTGAGAGCAGCTGCATCCCAAAACAGACGAGCCGGGATGATGCTCCAGGAGGCAAGGAAGGAGAAAGCAGGGCAAGATGGTGGCTTTCCAAGTTCTGGCCTCCACCACCCCTCCCGCCCCCCAAAGACCCAGCTCCCTCTCAGGCTGACGGCACCGGTCAGATCCCAGCGCTTACCTCCAGGAAAAAGCGAGGGCTCTCCGGCATGGTGGTGAGGGCGCCGATGGCGAAGACAGAAGGGAAAGCACAAACCAGAACAAAGACCCGCCAGCTGTGGAACTGGTAGGCCGAGCCCATCTGGAAACTCCATCCTGGGGGGGGGGAACACATAAAGAATCCACCACATGGTGTGATGAGGGGAAGGAAGGAAGTGGGGGGGGAGGGAAGGAAGGAAATAAAAAAAGACAGGTGATGAGAAGAAAAGGTTTCCCTAACACCGAAGCGTGCGCACAGGTCAACTTCGATTTTCGCAGGCCAGGCTAGCAGGCCTTCTGTTCAGCCTTCGCACAGAGAGGGAGACGGCCCTTTCGAAGCCGTTTGCCCCACCGGCTGATTCTGGGGTCTGAAGCGTCACAGGTCGCTGTTACTCATAACAAGCTTTGAAAAGGAGCTAGTTCCGTTAACTCGGGAGAAAAAAAAAACGTGCCACAGGTTACCGTAATGGGGGATGATGGCCCAAGCCATGGCGGATGCGTAGATGCCCCCGATCATCCAGAACATGCAGAGCCAGCTGAGATGCTCCCCACGCTTTTCCTGTGCCAGGAATTCTGAGTAGTAGGAGAAGACAATGGGGATCGAGCCCCCGATACTGGAAGAAGAGGGAGAAAGAGAAAGGTGGACAGAGCAAAACTCTGCGTCCATTTAGCAAAATCGCACAGGATGGGACTCCTGGTAGGCCTCTCCCATTCCAGGCCAGAGTCTGGAAATACTGTGTCTGGGAACACAACCTCCAGGTTCCCACACTGGCTGAAAGCAAACAGGCAGACATCTCACAGTGTGTACAACATGTGCGCATGAGGGAGATGGGAGAGGAGGGGAGAAAGGTGCCAGGGGAAAAAGGGCAGGCCCGTCTGCTATCCATTTTTCAGTCCCAACATCTCAAAACCCGGAGGGGAGGGGGCCACAAATCACCACCTCTTGCCCAAACCCACCCAGGGATAACCCCTCCTTGATTCCTCTGAACGCCCATCATTGTATGGAATGTGTGCTCCTGACACAGACCGGAATTTGACACTCCCTATCCCTCCATTCTAAAAATAAGCTCCTAAAGGTGAGTTTCTAGTCCTCAAGGTGGTAGAGAAAATGATAAACTGATCCCATGCGGGTGGGTATGTCTTGGAGGCCCCTTTCCAAGGGGACATCCCACAGGGCACCCCATAACATCCTTACCCCACGCCCGAGAGCAGCCGGCAGAAGAGGAACGTGCCGTATCCCTGCACGAAGGAGGAGAAGAAGGCGAAGACGCTGTTCACGGAGAGGGACATCAGGAGGCACTGCCTGCGCCCGAGACGGTCCGCCAGGCCACCCCACACGAAGGCCCCGACCATCATTCCCAGGTAGACGATGAGGCCTGGAATGAAAGCAGAAGGGGAGAGATCCTGAGGGAGGCCTCTTTCAAGCTGACAGCTGGATCACACGGAACGGTGGTCCTTCCCACACCCTGTTGCCAAAGTTAGTGTGGATTTATTTATTACTTATGCACGATGCTTTTCTCTTGCAGGAATCTGTGGACTGCAGGTCCGCCTGAGGAAGGGGGTTTGCACCCACAAAGGCTTATGCCCTATGACACTCATTTCATATCTTTAAAGGGCCGCACCGAGTATATCCTGGCTTGCCACGAGAGAACTCCCGAGGGCAGCCCCCTGTGGCTCTTCCCCTTCCACCTGCCACAGAGAGAGGTCACGAAAGCCCTTTCCTACGAGAAGCCCATTGCCTTGCGCTTCTGGGAGAGCTGCTGGAAGGGAGGGAGGCCCCAGCAGGGACTCTCACGGAGTCACAACAGCTGCCCAGACCTCCTCCTTTGCTCCTCTTCTTTGGCTGATTCAAAGCACAGGAAAGGGGCAAAGGATCCACTGTCCCCGAAGGAGGAAGAGGCGTGGCAGGAAGGCCAGGCTGAGCATCCAGGGAGGCAGCAGGGAGGCTCCTCTTTCTATCCTTGCCTGCCCTTTGTGTCATTTGTGTATGGGTGGAGAGGGACCCCAGAATTCGGGGTTTTCTCAGAGAGAAACTGGAAGTGCTCCACAATCAGGGCAGCCTCCCTGTCTTCAGAGGGTGATGCAAAGGGACAAGCAGAGCCTGCCTGCCTGCCTGGGTGGGGGTCGGGGTGGGAGGGGGACGGTGACTCAGCCCGTGGGTGGCACGGAGACAGACAAGGACGGCGGCGAAAGCCAACCCAATGTCCTGTCGTGCTCGCTCTGGGCATCATGCAAAGAGAGGAGGGGAGGGAAAGAACCGCACTGCCCCCCCCCGGCAGCAGTGATGTGGGTAGAGGCCGCTTTAATCCTCCTTTCCCACACTGCCTGGCAGGGATGACGCTGGGAATCCTGCGGTGTGCGAGCCGCTCCCCCTTTAAAGGGGCTTTAGCTGTTCACTTTCCCGCTGTCTAATCCTAGGATTAAGCCACCAAAGACCAGGCCAATTAGGCGGGCCACTGGCGGATGCCGAGAGGAAACCAGCCCACCGACACCAATGCCGGGCCGGCCTCTCCCGTCTGCCCCAGAACGCAGAGGGTTTTGGGGGCACACGGAGCCGGAAAGGGATTACCGGCTCTCGCCGCCTCCCCTGCGCCGCTCTCGACGGCGCGTTGGCCATTCCTGACTGCACTGCGGCATTCGAGGCCCCCTCCCTGCCCCAAGACACTCCGGAAATCCCTGGCTCACGCGCGGTGGATTCTCAATGCACAAAACGGGCCCCAAAACCAGCCTTCGCAGGCCGCTCTAACAAAGAGGCAATCACGCACACTCTGTAGCAGCCAACACCTGGATCATCACTAGGGGGCAGTCTGCCAGGTGTGGGTGTGGGTGTCCACCCCATGGCGCTGCCTGGGGCAAACGCACCACTGACCCGGGGAAGGCCCTCCTGGGGCCTTAAAACATGCTTCTCACGAGCCACGGTTCCAGTATCTCACAAGGGCTGGAGCAACACCGCGGCCGAGGCGACATGGGCAAACAGCACAACTGTGAGGGCAACGTGCTCTTTTGCATTGCATTAAAAAGTCCTGGAAGATAAACAGCAGAGGAAAATGTACCTCGTGAGGCTGATCCCAACTGGCCAAAGTCAACCCACAGCCCTTAAAAATGTCTTTGCAGGCCCGAAGCTGCACCCTTGTGTTTAAAGGGAGCACCCCAAGCTTTCTAGTAAACAGAGAAGTCTTGGATTAATTTAGAAAAAATATATATCGATGACACTGAATTTACGGCTCCATACTTCTGAGCAAAGTCATAAGGCAAACGCATGACCTGAACCACCTTCAGCTAAAGGAAATGGTCCGGAAGGCCCACCTGGAGTGTCTGATCTGTGATGAGTTCAAGACAGGGAAAATTTGACTCTCTCTCTCTCTCTCTCTCTCTCTTTTTGGACCACTGCTCCCTCAAACACACCCGCGGCCTGGGTGGCTCAGAGGCTGATGTCAGATGTAACCTAAAAAAGAGACTCGTTTTCCAAGTTACCTCTGCTTTAGCCTCTTCGCACTGGATATGGCGGCAGTGAGGAAAGAGTGAAGACTTGTTTTATCTATCCCTGGTCATGTGCCAGGCAAATGCACCATTAAGGCAAATTTTGCGTATAATAGTCTTCCTCCATGCGGTGGCCTCAAAACACGTCAGGCCAAAGAATTAAGACTGAATAAACTGAAATTAGGTTGAAACCAGCAGGAGAGTGAAAAGATGGAAGAAGGAAAGGCCAAAAAGATGTCAAAGGCTACTGATTAAAAAAGATGACTGGTAAAAGAAAGCCCACTGGTTTTACAGGGTAATTAATGAGCCGGTTTCATCAACTGGTCAATTTGGGGGCCACCCTCCTGAAGGCACCTCCTCTTTCTGGTCCCACCAGCCAAACCTTCTTTCAGGCATGGGATCTTGGCCACTAAGCAGATTTCCTGTAGAGAAGACCCCTCCACTGAATTTGGTCAAAGCCCAGAGTGTCAAACTGAGCCCAGAGACAGAACGAAAGCCAGCGAAGGTGGTGTGAACACGCCCTGGACACTGGCCTGGGGTGGCCGGAGAGACACCCCTCCCTTGGGAAAGCGGCCCAGCTCAAGTTTAGCTGGAAGGAAAAGGAAGGTCGGGAGCCAGGAAGTTGCCCATCATCCACCCTCAGCAACACCCCTGGACAGCTGCACCCCCCTGGTTGAGAGGCACTATGAATGACTGAATGCATTTCTAATTTTGCATTTCTGCACATACATTTGCCATATGCAGTCTTACATAAATCAGTGTCCTCTCCCCCTCCCTCCCTCTTTGGTGTTATGTTAGATGGCCAGCCTGTTATTTTCTGACCCTAAAAATATAAATAAATTAATAAATAAATAAAAAGCAGGTTGGGCTGCCACCATCCCAGTCAACCAATGTTTATAAACTATCTTCAAGGGCAAAATGAGCCACAGTGATCCGGCCTGGAAGTGAGTGTTGGCTTTTAGCATAGGAAATTCAGGCTTACACATTAAAAAAAAAAAAAAGACACGCTTCTCACTCAAAAGAAGACAAATCTGCTTCCAAAGCAGAGGCTGAAGAGAAGGCGAAGGAACCGGGGCAGAACCCTGAGCTACAGATGGCAGGGGAAAGGCACGCAGCTCCAACCCCAGATGCTCTCAGAGGGGCCCGAGTCTTGACCGAGAGGGTTCCAGCTGGGGAGGGGGAAGAACCAACACCACCATGAGAGAGAGAGAAGCGGTCGGTCAAGGAAGCCGGGAGGCAGAGAGCGGACGCAGGAAAGAGCAGAGAGAGAGAGACCGAGCTATTTTTATCCTGGCTTCCACGTACATTTGAACTGCAATCACGAGACTAATGCGCCTGGCGATGCAGGGTGACAAGCTGCTGGCGAGAGGAGTAAGACAGCAGGGTTTTGTTTTTGTTTTTTTTCCCCTTTTCCCTGGGAACAATCTCATAAGGGTGAAATATGGAGAAGTGGTGTGTGTGTGTGTGGAGGCGATAGGGGCAAGGATGACATCAGCAAAAGCTGGAGATGTGCTTCCAGGAGAGCTCTCCCCCCCTTCCCCCAGCATCTGGCTGCCTTCCCTCAGCACAACCTACTCAAGCCTGACCTTCTCCATTCATGTCGAAAAGCACTGGACACCCACCCGCTCCTGATCCCTGGCTGATCTCTGGCTCTCCCCCATCAGATCCACTCCGCTCTTCTGCCAGACTGATGGGAAGGTGCTTCGAGGAGGGCAGGAATGAAGGCGCCTCCCAAGGAAAGGCGGGGTATAAATTAAATAAATAAGGAAGGCGCCTCCCAAGGAAAGGTGAACACAACCACCAATTCTTCTGCCTAGGGGCAGGGCGGGATGAGCAAGCCCTGCACTGCAAGGGGAGCTTAGCTGCCAACCATGCTGGGCAAGGGCAGCTTTCAAGAGCTGGCGTCCAAAAACAATGAATGCGTCTGAGCTCTGAGGCGGAAGGCCTCCCCTTGGAGGTGGCTGGGCTCTCCCTCGCTAGAAGCCTTCGGGCAGCAGCCTAAGCCCCCCCTGGTCCCCTAAATGCCAAACTGTGTCTCCCCATGGGGGCCCCTCTGGTCCAGCACCCTGTTCCCAAAAGGACAGCCCTCCGACCTGAAAGTAGAACCTCCCCACGCCTGCCTTTCGCCTGCACTTCTGTGCTTGGTCTCCACCTGATCTCGGGAACTCCCCAACCTCTCTGCCACTTCCATGACCCAAGGGCGATGGTACTTGCAGTACAACCACATCTGAAGGGAAAGCCAGAGGCCCAGCCCTCAGGTGCCCCCCCCAGATCCGCAGCCTCCTCCTCCTCCTCCTCCCTTTTAAGCACGTTAACGAAATACAATAGAGAAGGCAAGGAAATGGATCTGGAATGAAGAGGGTAGCCCTGCAGCCACCCAAGGCCCTTCATCTTCACCCCCAAAATAAAGCCGCATAAAACAGCGTTTCTCTGAAACACACACACACACACACACACACAAACACACACACACACACGGCTGTGTCCTTCTCATTCGGATGAGTCACCGCTTGCTTCTCTCGTCTCCCGTCTCTCTCTGCCCCCAAACCATGTTGATTAAAAATGGCAGCTTGTTTAGAGACTGATGGAAGGGATTGAGGGGCAGAAGGGAAAGCAGAGAAGAAAGAACGGAGAGGCCGAGAAGGAGGTTTCCGTCAGCTGGCTGGGAAAATCCCTCTCCTAAAATCTTCTGCAGACCGAGGGCCCTGGGTGTGTGTGCGCACGCCTGGGCCTCAGTCGGGCTGATGCCACCACCACCACCCCCCGCTCTGTGAGGGAGCCAACAGGCAACCATGCCAGCCAGCCAGCCAGTTTCTAGGGAGCCGATTTGGACACCCCTCCTGTGCCTTTCTGGGCTACCAGCAGGGAAGGAAGAAGAAGAAAGGATGGGCCGAATCTCACCCCAGTTCTTTTGAGAGTTGGCATGAGTTCCTTCTCCTTGGGCTGGAATGCGGAGAATACACCCAAGCAGGGCTCCGCAGATATGGACCCACTTCTGGCCCAGCCCTTGGGGAAAGCTGTGTTTCGGACGCCAGCCCCTCCAGGGTCCTCAGCCCAAATCACCAGCAACGGCTTGGTTCCTCCCCTCCTTGGAACAGCTTTGAATTTCAGCTGGGCATGACAAGAGCTTCAGATCTTCAAGCACCCGTGTGTTTCCCCAAAAGAAGACCCCCTTTCTCCGAGGGGGAAAGTTATTATGTTGACGGCTATTCTGCTATTAAAAGTCTTCCTTTACGATAAGTTGGTGGGCATGGAAACCTTTGTGTGTGGGGGGGGGAGAGAGAAGGAATGGACAAAGCCTCTCCTCGCTGTAACCACAGCTGGGTAACCTGTGAGTGGCACGTCACGACCGCCAGAGGAGAGGGGTCCCACCCAAGGTCCCTCCAGCCACCGCTGTGAATGAAGGGCCACCTGCTGCTCCCCAGGGCTGACCCGAGTGCAGCAGCGGTCCAGCAGCTTGACAAGATGTAGCAGCTTCTCAGGTTCTTGTGTAAATCGGAAAGAAGCATGAAGACTCACAGCCTTGAGTTTTTGCAGAAGTGTCATAGCTCAGCGAGAGTGCTGGCTTTGCACGGGGCAAGGCCCAGATTCAGGGGCGAGGAAAAGATTCCTGCCTGAAACCCTCTGCCAGTCAGGGTGAGGGCAGAAGAAACGGGGGCAGGCCTGCCGCTCGGCAGCCTGAATCAGCTCTCAGCTTTTGGAAGATGACGGACATTTGACTAGAAAGTGGCAGACGAGGGCAGGGCTTGCTGCCTGCATGAGATGTGTGTGGGGCGAGACTAAGCACACTGCACATGGTCCGAGACTCTAGTTGATCCTTCCACGAGACTGGAGAGAATCAAGGCCCCCAAAAGAAGACGAAGAGACAGACAAAGCTGAAGTGCGTTTGAGCTGAGTCTCTGCACCGGAAGCAGGGCCCCCCCATGGTGCCATTTTGGCTGAGCACCCCTGAACCAGCCACCCATCCAACAACTGGAAGGAGCCACACAAACCGGACTGCCTTTTTCCACCCACCCCCCATCTCTAAGCCTAAGGAAACCCTTCGACTTTGGGGGGGCTCAACAAAGCCTTGTGATGTAACTGGGAGTCGGGCAGGGGGTGGGCAGAAGTGGCTGGACACCAGCTTTGCCGCAGTGCAGTGCGCGGGCAAATCCGGCAATGAATTCTGCTCCCAAATGCCAGTGTTTCCCCTGCACGCGCACCACCCCCACAAATCCTTCTCCATGTCCCACCCCCGCAAAAGACATCCCCCCCCTCCTCTGCCCGTGGTTTCTTTCACGGAGGATTTAATTCTGCCTAAGCGCTCTGGCTACAGCATAGCCAAGCCCCAGCAGCGCCTCTGTGGAGGGGAGAGATAAGCTCGGGGCCACTGCTATTCTGACACATGATTCTCAAGTTAGAAAATGGGGAGAGAGAGAGAGAGAGAGAGAGAAATGGGCAAGGGGAGGAGATGAGTCACCACCTGTCGCAGCCCTGCCGGGTTCTGGAGCCTCAAGCAGGCGTCAAGTGTGGAAAACAGGAGCACGCAAGACATGTCTGGAAACGCAGCCCCTCCTCGGATCGCAGAAAAGGGCTCAGGCTTGGGACTGAAAGCTCCAGATGTTGTGATGCAAAGATACAGCAGAGGGACAGATTGCCTCTGAGCATGGGGTGACTTCCTGGTTTAAAAACTGGCTTTCAAAGGAGGTTTTTAAAACTGCTTTCTAACCTTTTAATATACAGTATATATATATTTTCCCCCTATTGTATATTGCTTTGGGAACCCAGATGAACAGAAGAAGGATAAACAAGGACCCTAAATAAAAGCATAAAAATTAGCCTCGCTTTTCTGAGCTTGAAAAACAAAACAAAACTGGAAACCTCCAAAGCCACCACCAGGCCATGCTGGCAGGGGGATTCTGGGCATTGTAGCTCCTCAGGGGCCACTTGCCATGTTCTCTTCCTCCTTGGATGGAAGCTGTAGGAGAGGCATGGTGCTTATTTTGGCAGACTGCCCGTATTAACAACAGATACACACAGAGATGCCCATAAACCCTGCATGCAGTTAGCTAGCTCATCAGAAAGGAAGGGAATGACTTCACAAGGAGAGAATTGAAGGTGGGTGCCCCAGAACTGGTATTCCAAAGCCTTCTACATCATCTCATGCTGGGGTGTGTGTGTGTGTGTGGACACACACAATCCCCCCAATTCCTTGTATTAGCCTCCTAGAAGTACAATATGCAGCAATCTCTTTTTTTTAAAAAAAACAGTCTTTCCCTTATCATAGCTTCCAATTCACCTTCCCACAAAAGCTGGCTCTCTCCTATAGATCTAGTCACACATCCCATCATACGCAGGCCACTCCTTTCCCACAACCTCCCTGCAAAGTGCTGGAACCCCTCAAGAAGCAGCTAGAATCCGTGGCCTGAACCCAGCAGGTAGTCAAAGTGAAGGGAGAGCTACTGAAATCTGTGGAACCTCCTTAAGTGTCGATTTCCCATTCTGCCACGGATTCTGCTCTTCACGGGACTGAAATCTTCTCGGAGGTGAGCCCACCGGATACACGTCACCCTCTTGGGGAAAGAACACATTCTACGACTCCATCGAGAAAGCAGGGCAGTCCCGGATTAAGTCTCTCAAACCCCTTGAGCTCAACCCCCCCTGCTTGTGTGTCACCCAGTCTCCCTATTCCCTTCCCTCCCTGCCCGGATGCCTGACTCTCACAGCGGATCGTGGCCAAGGGCTCAGGCGTAGGGCCTGCCCTCCTCCAAAGGCCTCTTGGAGTGGGGAGGACTTACCCAGCATGCCTTTGTTGGAGTCCGACAAGCACATGTCCTTCTCTGCGCTGGGAAGGACGAAGCCCACCACAAAGATCTCCACCCCGTCGGCCATGAGCGCCAGTCCGAGCACAAAGTACAGCGTCCACTGGAACTTCCCGTGCCCGCACTCCTGCAGGATCAGCTCGTACTGCTGGGCCAGCTCCTCCTTCTCCTTCTTCCGGTCGCCCGTCAGGTCCTCAAAGTCCCTGAACTCGCTCACCACCTCCTGGTGGGCCGCCAAAGGGTCCCCGCCCTTGAGGGAGTCGTTGCGCGGAATGCCCTGGTACTCCCCCTCGTAGATCTCGTCGTCCTCGTCGTGCCCCTCGGTGGCGTCGCTGGAGGCCCCCTCGTCGTCCACGGAGGGTTCCCCCCGGTAGTATCCGTCCTGAGGCTGGTAGTCATCCTCGTCATCCTCTTCCTCGAAGCGGGAGTAGGAGCGCTTCGTGTACTCGTCTTGCACCCGGTCCACCCCTTTGCCCACCTTCTTGGTGGCATGCTTCTTCACTTCCTTGGCAATGTCTTTCGCTCCACGAATGAAGGCGGTCCGGTCTTTGAAACCTTCATCCATGGCTCCGGCCTGGCTTGCAAAGGCCTTCAAGCGGCGAGATTAAAGGGAGCCAAAGAGAAGCACTCCCAGAACGAACTCGGGAGGAAGTCTTCTGGGTTCAGCACTCAGGGAGGGCGGACAGCTCCTGTGCAGAGAGAGTCGCCCCTCAAGCCAACAGGCGATACTGCGACGACGCTCCAGCCGGCAGGGAAAAACCAAGTGGGGCAGGTCTTCTGGAGAGGCACCTTGAAGCGGCTTCCTGGAAACCCATCCGTGTAAGTCCCAGCGTTTAGGAGGCAGGCGTGCGAAGGAAGCGGTTCAACGGGAGGGAGGGCTGTTGCTTTTCGCTGATCAGAGATGTCCCTACCAGGGTGACAAAAGGCAGAACTTTTCAGATGTTAAAGGAAAATAGGAATTAATCGTCCTAGATACACATGTGGGAAATTAAATCTGCAGGATGAAATTCGCCACATGGGAAGTGAGGATTCAAAGGAAATTGGGCCAGAATTGCCCCTGGAGTGGATCAGCAAAACTGGTTTCTCTTAGAATGTGATTTCAACTCAAATTCACTCTCACTTTGCTAGTGAAAGCGACGGAGGGGGGCATTTATCCCTCTGCCAAAGACCGGCTGGTGCTTTCTACCCCCAGAACTCCATAATTAAGTACCCCATAAACACTGCCGTGTTTCATTGGCATCCCATTTCGTCATCTGACAGCAACAACAGATCACTTGATCCCTGATCTACCCGCTCTCTCGACCTCCCAGTCCGAAAGACCCACCAGGCCGTTGGGAGGGAGCTGAGCTTCTGCAAGAGAGAGAGAGAGAGAGATGGAACATCCACACAGAATTCCGCCGAATTGGCTGGGTGGCCAATTAAGGAAGGGTGGAGAAGACCCACCAGGCCATTGGGAGGGAGCTGAGCTTCTGAGAGAGAGAGAGAGAGAGAGAGAGAGAGAGAGAGGTGGAACATCCACACAGAATAATTCCGCCGGCCAACCAGAAAGCTAGGCTGGGTGGCCAATTAAGGAAGGGTGGAGGAGACTCGTTATCTTGTGGGCATAAACTTTCTAACAAATTTCAAAGTCTTTACTCCTAGAAGCACGGCCAGCTGGGGTCAAGGTTTAGCCATTAAGGCCCTTTTGAAATAATACCAGCATAAACCTTCGCAAATACAATACCAGCATAAACAGCAAGCCTCGGATCACGTACAACTACCAACCAAGCCAGGAACCTCATGGTGCCAGAGGGACGAGCGATTGCGTGGGAGGCGGGAATTTCTCCAGACTCTTGCTCAGAGGCAAAGGAAGGTCAAGATGAGAAAGTGGAGTTTGTCAAACTGGCAATGGGCCATTCGGCTAGTTGGCAGTTCTCTCTCTCTCTCTCGCTCTCTCTCTCTCTCTGTGTGTGTGTGTATGTTTGTGAGAGAGGGGGGGCATTCCTGAAGAGACACAATTTAGTAGCATTTTGGTTACCACAATAGGCTTCTCCTACAAAAGGAAAGTTACCAGTACCCCTGGGGTTCTGACACAGATCCTTACAGTCTTTAAATACATATTTATATGAGTTTATTATTTACAACGACAAAGGTTAAAAACTGTGCATGTTTAAAAAATAAACAATTCACACAGTGATGTGCAAAGAGGCCGAGAAAACTGAAGCACAACTGAAAGGTTTGTCTCGCTCGGATGACTGCCGGGTACCGGGGACAAAACAAACAAGACAGCAGAGAAGTTGATCGAAGGTTCTCCGTCTAGTCACCTGACAGCCATTCCGGCTCCCCTCAAGGGAGCAATGCAGTGGTTTTGAAAGACCAAACCAACGAAAGGCACGCAGTAGAGGTATTCCATATTCTGCCTCTTGATCATCCTCCCCAGAGGAGAACAGGGACTGGAAAAGGATTCACATGGATAAAGGCAAGAAATCATCAACTGCTCACTGAATCATTTCCCTCTTCTCTGGACAAGATGCTATTTTTAATCCCTGGCAGCAGAAACACGTCTGGCAGCAAAAGAGAGGAGACACAATTTATGTCCATGAAAGGGTTTCTCTCTATCTAGACTTTTTTTTTAAAGTGAGGGGTTGTTTTTTTTCATAGCTGGCACACCAGTCACCTGGGGTGAGTTGGGATGGTTTCCAGGTGACCAAACAGAATATTTCATCAACAATCTTTGTCTCATTCATTTTCGGTTCAACTCTACAGTTATTCGAGTTGAATGAACCTGTCAATTCTGGTTACTCTTCATCCTCTCCTCTTTTTTTAATCTTCAGCTGTTTTCCATATTGATCTGTGAATTAGTATTAGAGTTTCTTTGTGGACACATTATTATCCTCTGCCAATCTATTTGTAAGACAGTCAGATAGTAAAAAAAACAAATCCAAGGATCCAATCATCTCTCCTCCACAGGAGGAGACTCAAATCCACTCAGGGCTGCCATCTTTAGAAGTTTTGCAGTGTAAGCTTCAGGTAAGCATCCTCTGAACACTTTGTCTGGCAGACTCTGGCAAGCGCCAGTACAGTGCTAAGGAACTGAGGCTCCTTATCACTAGACAGTTCACAGTTAGGACTTAAGTCTTGGTAAAATCCCATGATCTCGCATCATCAATTGACCAAACCCCCCCCCCCCAAAAAAAAACAAAGGAGCAGGGTGGCAGAACAAACAGCTTCTGGGACAGCACTGGATTAATGCTGAAATTTCTGGCAAAGGAAATTTCAGCTCTGTTTTGAAGCTGCCTCCTCCCCAGACATCAAGAGCTCTGCATTTAGCTGTTGCTGAGGCTGATTTTTACATCATTTCAGGGAAACCTTCCTGTTTTTGCAGATCTAATCTCTGCTATCCATCCTGGAGACTGGGTGCAGAGAGGGGCTTCCCCAGGTATTTGTGCATATCTATGTTTGGTGCTTCTGCTGAGGGGAAGTCATGTTTCTATTATTTAGGGGGAGGGAGGTTGATGGGGAGACAGACGGCCTCACAACCTTACCCTGATTTCCCCCTAATCACATCCCTAGGATCATAAGACATAAGAAATTGATTTGTCATTGCACTCACAAGTGGGTGCAACGAAATGAGGTGCTCTTCCCCAAGGTAAAACTGGACAACATCACTGGGCCCAGCTTCAAAAGAGAGGAGTTTTTTTAGGGGGGGAATAAGAGGAAAAGGTTGGGAGGCCTGACTCTCCTTTCGAGTTCAAGCATTGACTATCACTCTTTCCATCTATCACCCCAAACCTTCAGATAATTTACATGAAGCAGATCATTTCCATGTTATGTTAAAGGATATATTAAAATGATTTTTTTTCAAAGGGAAGATTTTCATTTTAAAAATCATAGTCAAGCATCAGCAGCTCCCACATGTGATGATTGAAATGCAAATCGAGGCGTTGAAGGATAAAAATGAGAGAAGGAGAATATGCTGACTCGAGTGATAATGACAGAAACAGGAAACATGCCATAAAGGAAAAGACACAACCAACAGACTCACGCAGGGTTTCACGCTGTGCAAGATAATAATTTTTCTCACAAATTGCAGCAAAAAGGCCTCCACCAAATAATAACAATAACAAAACAGCAACAACAATAACCAGCTGCAATTATTCATTGTTTAATGATAAATGTGAGCTGACATCAATTGAGAGACAGAGACAGACAGAGAGAGAGGTTTGAAATTTATCTTGCCTGTAAGCTGTACCTCATGACTTGGAGACGTAAGGAGCTAGGATAGGATTGGGATTTATACTCTGCATATGCTCAGAAACAATCTTTTCATTACAATGATTTAACCGTCTGCAAGGCTGGATTCTAGAAGGGCCAATAGATTTTTAAAGCTCACAGTGAGATGTTCGTATTAACTAGCAAAATGCCTGTGATCAGGGTCAGCAAACAGGGGGACTATGTATTTCAAGAGGCCTCTTGCAACGGATTGCAACACACACACACACACACACACACACACACAATATCATGCATAGGGATTTGAGGAGGCTGATCCATCTCGCTGGCACACTGTCTGCCAAATCTATCGCCACCTTTTCTTTCTAACACTTAGGACAAATAAACAAATATACTGAGAAACACCGTTGGGGCAGGAGCCAAAATGTGGTTTCTGCACACTGGGAACCTCAATTTCTAGAATCATGTTTTGGATGCACAGAGGGAGGGTGTGTGTGTGTCCCTTTTTAATTTTAGGTACTCCCCCACCTTCCTAGATTAAGAGAGACAGGACTGTGGGTCTGCCACATGTATGGATCAGACCCACTGCTACATCATGACTTACGAATCCAACGGTACCACAACTGAAATCGGACCAAAAGAGATTGCCTGCTATCACTCGTATCTCCCATAATAAGCACGCTTGAAATGGCCCTGAATCTCTACAGTCCTGTATCTTGAACAGTTGGGTCGGGCTTCCTTCAGTCTACCCATAAAAGTGAGGGGGGGGGGAAGAGACCCTTTCCTGCTCAAGGTTAGCTGAGGATACAGAACGAATCTTTGGTTAATCGGTCTCAAGATCCAGTCCTTCCTTAAAACTTCTCCCTCTGCAGGTTTTGTTTCACCCACAGATTTTACAGACCATTTTCTCTGCCCACAGAACTCAGGATGAGGTCCTGGAGGACCGAACGGGCTGGAATCTGCAGCACAGCCCCACCCAGAGTTATGTCCCACCGTCACATGGGGAGTGCGACCAGACATCATGAAGCCAGTGACCGAGATAGACAGGAAGGCAACATAAAATAGGAAACATTACTTCAAGATTTCCACAAGCATGGCTCTGTCCCCCTGGACCAACCTGATACTAGGGGACCGTTTAGCCCTGAACCTGCTTCAATGGGGAGAATAATCCTCTGTGCATGTGCGAAGTGCACCTTCACAGTCACTGTTCTCTCACCCCACTTTCAGGATTCAGAGAAGGCCTTCTAAGCCAGCTCAGGCAGCCTTTTAGAAAACAGCCGTTGTACAATTTACGGCTCTTTCGGTGGTTCTGTGTTGCTCTTTTTTCAGTCATGATGTGATTGCACCAACACACACAGTAACACAGAAAAAAACCCACTCGCGTTTTGTTCCGGGGGGAATTTTTTTTTTCAGCTGACAAGGTAAAGACATTTTGGAAATCTTTCTAATTCATTAACATCCGGTGATTTTAGACATATATGTACTGTATATATTTTTTAAGTCTAGGGATAGCTTTGATTGCTGTTTATCTTGTTACAGTTGACAACGCGGCAGAGAAAAAGCTGTTTAAAAATTTAAATTAAAAGCTTTAGGAAGTAGCTTGTAATGTGTTGCTTTCCTTCACCCCACCTCCCCTTTGCCATCAGCTTTCAAAGACATTTTCTCTGTGTGTGTCTCTCTTCCCTACTCCCTAGCTAAAGACAAACATGAAATCCAGAGATATTTTTCGGAAGTCTAATGACCTTTTTCATTATGATAGCCAAAAACACCCAGAGAGAAAGAGAAAGATCATCTGAGGAGAGGCAGGAAGAGACAGAGGATAAAGTAAAAGGGATATAACCCTTGAAATTTGAGAGCAGGGAAATGACAATAAAACACCTTAACAAAACACCATTTGCAAAACCTCACCCTGATTAGCACATAAAAGGCGTTTTGTTAAACCAGCTTTCCTAAACTGAATGCCTTCCAGAGGGATTGGGCTACAAAACCCATCATCCCAACCAGGACAGCCCATGAAAGGCGTTGTAGTCCCAACACATCTGGGTGTGGGAACGTGGACTCATTTCAAATTTCCAGCCGATTAGGAGGGAAGAAGGAAGAAGGCTCCCTCCTCAAACTGCTTCTTCCAAATCCTTCCTTGGACACTATGTGGATGACCTGCATTTGGGGCTGCTAAATGTCAACCATCCTACTTGTTATTTAAAAAAAGAAAAAAGGAGGGGGGTCAGCATTCCAGGACTAGAGCTGAAGCCTTATCCCCCAACACCTCCATCCTTTTCTTTCCAAACAAAAAAAGGGAGAGGGAAGCAAGTTTATTTTTAATTGTTTGGCACCTATTTTCTCCTGCCCGTCCTTCACCACTGGCCCTGCTTAGAACACATCCTGCTTCTCTGTGTCCACGCAGACCATGCACTTCACGAAGGAGATGCTGATGGCAGAGAAAGAAGATCGCAGGACCAAACCGCTGCCGCCACCCCATCCCTTCCTTTCCAATTATTTTGTGGGCTCTGGAGGGGGGAGGGGGGGAAGTCATCCACAAGATCAAGCACAGCATCCGAGGCAGTCAATGTCTCTGATCCAAACACCTCAAGGTCACGTTCGGCCTCCATGGACAGAATCCTCCCCTTCAACTTGCACAACTGAGGTAAGCCCATCTCCACTTTGAACAGCAAGACCTGGGCAAGGGAGTCCCTCTTCCTTCAGCAAACGGGGGCTCCTGTTGGCCAGCGCAAAGCCATTGGGGGGAAAAGAAAGAAAGAAAAATGGGGTAGCTGCTTCCAAAGAAAGGGGGGGGAAGACTCCACACAAGCTGGCCAAAGGAGGAAGAGAGGCCGGTGCCCAAGGCAAGGTTTTCCAGGACAAAATGGCCACACCAAGAGAAGGCATTGAGAGTTTGGGGGGAGGGGGAACAGAGGCAGGAAAAAATGTGGTGATGTTTCTCGCTTCAGCCTCTTTCCTTCAATGGCAGGTTAAAGAAGCCACCCATCAGAGAGAGAGAGAGAGAGAGAGAGAGAGAGAGAGAAGCGCTCATCCTCCCGCTTACCTCCAGTGGTACCCAGAGCGGTCTCGTCTCCAGCGCTCGCCTCTGCTGGAGCCCAAAGAAAGCTGCAACAGGGATGCAGGAGGGACCAAAAGCGCCCAGCCTCAAGGCTGCTGCTGCTGCTGCAACAACCTCCTCCTCCGTTGACTGATGGGAGAGTCCATTGTGGCAGGGAAGGGAAGGGAAGGGAACGAACGGAGAGGAGGCAGGGCTGGCTCTCTAAGAGATTGGGGGGGGGGAGGAGGAAGAGAGAAAGAGTAAAGGGATCGCACACAAAAACTGGCTAGCGAAGCGAGCGCGGGGGGGGGAGACAAGCAAGTAGGGGAGCAAACAGATGTGCTCTCTTGATTTGGGGTTCCTCACGCCCCGAAGGGGGAGGGGCCCCAAGAGAGAGAGAAAGACCTTTCAAAGATCAGCTTTCTCCTTCAAGGTTTCGGCTTAACCTCTCCCGACAAAAAGCACAGAGGACAGAAGAAGCCTTCGCCAGTTCCAGCTGACAGGGCCTCCTAGGAAGAAGGGTTTTTTTTTTTAAAACACTGGGAAGGGAAAACGAAAGCCTCCTCCATGGAAAATGCCTGGAGTGGGAAGGGGGGGGGCTTCTCTGCACCTTCTAAGGATGTGATGATTCAGAGGTATATAGGCAGCAGCGTTTGAATGCATCTTTCCTGCCCGCCCGCTTCCCCTGCCGTCCTTTTGATTCTAGTCAAGGCTTGCAGAGGGGAAACACAGAGGGAAAAGCCTCACCAGACAGGCAGGCTTTAAAAACAAAGGTGAACCAACTCGGTTCTTCAGCAGACAGAAAGCAAACAACAGGGCGAGAGACCCAGGACATCGGAGAAGCACACCCGGCTGGCCGCCCGCCATCCCACCGCAAAGGACTCCACGCGATGCTGCCACAGATGGCATGGAAATCTTGTATGACCAAGGCTGGGCAGCAGGACTCCCAGTCCCCAGGTGGAACCTGGAAGGCTCCTCCAGGGAAAGGATGCTACGATGCATATATAAACATGGGTGTATAGGCAGGCCTTCCCTTAGGCTTTAAAAACAAAGGTGAACCAACTCGGTTCTTCAGCAGACAGAAAGCAAACAACAGGGCGAGAGACCCAGGACATCGGAGAAGCACACCCGGCTGGCCACCCGCCATCCCACCGCAAAGGGCTCCACGCGATGCTGCCACAGATGGCGTGGAAATCTTGTATGACCAAGGCTGGGCAGCAGGACTCCCATTCCCCAGGTGGAACCTGGAAGGCTCCTCCAGGGAAAGGATGCTATGATGCTTGGGTCATGTAAGAGAGACAGCAATTCCATGAGGTCCCATCATCCTACCATCTGTGAAACTGGGCTTTCACAGACTAATTTTGTTTTTAATCCAGCATGCCAGCGAAGCTTCATCTACGATGCCATCTTCCTTGCTGGAACGATGCTTGGGTCGCGTAAGAGAGACAGCAATTCCATGAGGTCCCATCATCTTACCATCTGTGAAACTGGGCTTTCACAGACTAATTTTGTTTTTAATCCAGCATGCCAGCGAAGCTTCATCTACGATGCCATCTTCCTTGCTGGAAGGGTCCCGTGGACAAATTCCCTCTGACTTAAGACTATTCCCAGCCATACTAGGAACACTGAAACACCAACTCATACACGGCTTTATTGTGCATTTTGTCAAGGGGCTAGAAATAAAATGAGATCCAGATTATGAGAGAAAGAGAGTCTCCAATCCTGACAAGGAAACCTGGGTCTGAAGTTCATGGAAACGCGAAGGGGTGGGGCTGGAACATTTTGTGTCATCTAAGAAGCCAAAATAATTTGAGGGCACTTAACACTGGAGGGGAAATCATCCCTCCTAGCCTGTTCTGGTGAGGGGTAACTTCCAGTCTGTACAAAAGAACTGGATGTCAAAACCGTGTCTAATGTTCTTAATTGCAGTTTTGAAACCCAGACGAAAACATTCACAGATTATTAACCCTCTACATTTGACTCTTACTGCTGGTATGATTAGACATCTCACTGAAGTTCCTCAAGACAGCAGGTGGGGACTCAGCCCCATCTTTCAACCGTCTGATCTTCCTCCTCCCTTTTCCAACACAGGGGACACATCCTGACCTCCCTCACTAGTGGTGTCATTCAGGGCCATAAAGAATCGTCACAGCTTGCTGAAGGTGGGCGGAACTGGCGACTTACGGATCGCCCTCACATGCACATGGATGGCACTTTTGAGTGGAAGAATTAATCCATGGGGTAAAATAAGAGCCAAGGTAGATTATCCATGCTGCACATATTTTCCAACACAGAAAACCTCCAGACTCCCCACCGTGCTCCTAACCAAAATATGACACACAAGGGAAAGAAAAAGACCTTAAAGATGACTCTTTGTTAGAAGCAGAAAATCCTTAAGAGCTGGTGGTTATGTGACTGTCGCAGCAGCAACATTTCTCACCTCCCAGAGATTGCAAATTAACTTTCTTTGATGTATTCTCGAAGGCTTTCTTTGTGTTGTGACTGATCTTCAGGACTGATACACAGGAATCCCTTTGGAGTCCCATTTCTCTGGCAAAAAATATTCCTGAATTAGGTCTCTCCAACACTCACATACTTTCAGTTATCATGGCAGCCTGCCTGTTATATCTGTTTCTGCCGTGAGCCAGTCAAATAGCCTTCTCTCCTAGTAATCCTCAGCTTAATCCTTTTATCCAGGAAGAACTCCAGATTTTTGCTATGGGGGCAGGGTGATGAACACAAATGCAAGGATTCAGGTCTCTGCAGGTTTCTCTCTCTCTCTCCCACACCCATTCCCATAAAATTAGCTGCCCCTCATCTTCTCTTATCCCAAGTAAATTATTCTGCCCTTAAGCACTACTCAAAGAAGGGGGGCTTATCTTAAACACCAACAACATAACTGCTCGGTACATCACTGCCATAATGTGGGGAAATCAGGGTGAAAAAGCTTTAAAGAGACAGAGGGGATGATGGCTTAGAACGAACAGGAGAGAATAAACATGTTTCCACCCTCCCTGTCAACAAGATGGGCAAACTCCGCCAAGGGCCGTCCTTTAATGCCCCTTTCGTTAAGTGGGTAAGAAAGCTATTAAAAGAGCAATGACTGACCCTGAGCCAACAGTGCCGTTCCTTTTAACGCCGGCTGGTCAGGACAGCTCCAAAGGCCCTGGCAGACTTTTCTGTCGTTTGGAAACAAAGACGCACTCGGTCATCACTTTTTTCTTCTTCCCTAAAGTGGATTGTAGGTAATAGGGAGATGATCAAAACATGCTTGGTGGGAGGTTAAATACCTCAAAGACCTGAAGCTGTGAAGGCAGCGAGGAGGGGTGGGCCACTCACAGTGACGGCAAACGCCACCGAACTGCCTCTGCATACACAGCAGATTATTTTCGGAGCGGGCTAAACTGTCGGAAGAAGTCATCTCGGAAGGAGCTAAGGGCCGCTTTTCATTCCTCAGAAGAGGTTCCTGGATGGAGGCCAGGGGTTTAGTGGGGAACCATGCGTCCTAGAACATCCTCCTGCAACTTTTTGGTGGAAATTATTTTTCCGCTGAGGAGCTGTGAGAGAAGGTTTTAAGAAAAACTCTTTTACCACTGGATGCAGCCCATGGAACACATTATTCTCTGCCTCTGTTTTATCATCGAGACCTGACTCTAGGTTGGTATATGAATATTTCAGTTAATAAATAAATTGGCCCAACAGACTGAGCGAGTCAACAACATCTACCTTCACTGGAAATGTTTTCTTCCCTAAATAAATATTCCCCGTCTCTCCTCCACCTTTCTCCCCTTTTCTCTTTCTGCACCTGTAAACAGACATCCATGGCTTGAAACAGCAGGCCTTAAGAGCGCCTCTTCTGCGGGCGGTGAAATTAAAGCAAAGCATACAGCAAATTGGAGGTAAATGGTAGCTTATTATTGTCTTGTCACTAGCCTCCTCTCTGAGGTTTTGTGCTGTGTTATTTAGCCTTCTCAGAACAAAGAAAAACACACACAGCCGCCACGTAAATCAGGAAGGGGGGGGGAGAGAAGCAGAGGTTCTGCTCTCCCCAGCACATCAATCTCTCAAGCAAGAGAAAGCCTGAGTCAGGAAGGCAGAGCTGACAATTACGGGGAGTGGGGCGGGGGGAGATTCAGATAAGCTTCCTGCCTGTGTGATTTGTGCTAGAGGAGCTGGGGAGAGGCAGAATGGAGGGAGGGGCTCATTGTCCCACGCTGACAAAAAGTGCAGTGATACATTTCCAATAGATGAGCCAGAAATTAACAAACCGGGTGGCTTTCATCATATTACACAGAGAACTAGGTCATCATTTAGTTTTTAAACAGTGTGGGACTTCCTGCAAGACATAGATCCTAGCAGAGAGCAAAGATGGACCTGTTATTTCGGACTCCAAATCCCAGTCACCGCAGCACTGGCCAGGGAATTCTCGAGCCAGGCTAGCTTGGGGGGGGGATCATGAGAGTTGTAGTCCAGAACACTGTAAGGGCCTTCTCCCTACAGACTCGTCTCATGCTGATCAGGGCCACCTATCCTTTTAGCCCAGACAGGTGAGCTGTAACTGCCTGGAATTCACCCTGTTTCCTAAACCTTCTATTTTTTTAAACTGCACAGACAAGAAACTGGAACTTCTGCTCACATCAATGTTTGTGTCGGCCCATAACTTGAGGAGTTCACAATCTTTTCCACATGAGAGTGAGAGACAGCTACACTGAAATGTTTTTAAAATTAAAATTAGTTATTACATCTTTATATCTATTTTCTTGAAAAATGAGATGTAGCCAAAGAGACAAGGAGTGTGGATAAAGAAGGGAAGGAGTAGGGTTTCAAAGGTTAGAAATCTACTGGACCTGTTGGGTTTTGTTGTTACTTACATTTCTGGAGACCAGGGAGGCAGTTCGTTTCATACGTCTGCAACCGTAGTACATGAGGCCAGGATTGTACTTTCAGGTGCCAAGCTCAGCATCCTGGGGAAAAATGTCAGCCTTCCCTTTCCAAAACTACACTTCACACCACAATAAGCAAGTTTGTAGATGGCATGTTTGTGAAAATAGGCCTGAAACAACGTGAAGGCAATTTCAGGAAGCAAAGAGGCTGCAGCAAAGTACTTAGCAGAAACTGCAGAAGCCGGAACTAGGACTTCAGCACCCGGCTGATGATTATTTCCACATCAAGTACAACTGCTCGGCTATGAAACTACCAAAATCAGCTGATGATTATTTCCACATCAACTGCTCGGCTATGAAACTACCAAAATCCCACCTCTGGAACATGCACAGATTGCAGTTTTTCATAGCAGGGTATTTACTGCACAACACACACTTTTGTCCCCCGCTGCCCTTTTAAGAAAAACATTTCTTACTCCACCGTCACCCTTTCAATATGGCGCCCCCGTACACAAAGACCTAAATGCAGCCAAGTCATTTCCACAGTGGGCCACTCAGATCAAACATGTTGCCACAAGAAGCCACAATCACAACACAAATCCCCTTTGGAGCACACTCTGTGGTGTGTGTGTGTGTGAGTATGAAGTGGCTTTTAGTCTTCGGATGACGCCTGGCAGGCGTGTGTAGAAACAAGGATGTGCACATGTACCTCGGTTGCCACCGGCCTCGTTTTTTTCCGTCCAGCAAGCCACTTGAGCTCTCTTGGATGGGATCCTGTAAACGCGCTCAAGTTCCCAAAGAGCTGCCCTGGACGGAGGGTGGCCCAAAGGGACGGCGGAAGGAAGAGCAACCCTCCGAAAACAGCCGTGGACGAAGCTCCCATTCAGAGGCGTCTCAGACGGTTTGCGCTCCTGTCCAGGGCACCGACGCGCAGCAAACCAACTCAGAAGCACGCCTGAAGGATCTGACCTGAAGGATCGGTTTCAGGTGTTGTGGAACAGCTTCACAATTCTGTGTCTCAGGAGTACAGTTTGGAACAAATGGGGTTCTTTCTGGAGATTACAACTCTCAGAACATTCGGAGGACGCTTGCAAGAAAGGTCTGTTCCTGGGCGACTGTGAAAACCAGGGTTAACCCCACTCAGGATACTCTCTAAGCCCAGTTTCTGAATAGTCACAATTTTGTTTTCAGTCTTTTAAAAATGCTTCTTTATCTTTTAATGTTACTTGTAATTCGACTTACAGAAATTCGAAATATTACTGTTATATGCACAGAAGTCAGTTTACTGGATCAGATATTTTTCAAGCTTTCGTGATAGTTATCAGTACTCTTGACTTAAAACATATTTTTACTAAGGTTCTTTGTGTTTACTTTTAATTGTTTCTTACAAAAGACTTTTTTGTTAATGAGGCTAGGTGACGGCACAGCAAAAGAGGGCTGACATGGGGGTTTCCCAGAAATGCAGAAAGGAACGTTGTGTTCAAAAGTTTACGAACGAATGCCTCTGTGAAGATGTGCAACAACAGAACAGTTTTTCCAAATCCTCAGCACTGAAACTTCTGAAGTGGGTAACATGTGGAGTAATCAAAGATTTTGCATGGCATTTAATTCCAAACCTCCGAGGGTGTCAATCCAGGTGTCACATTTTTCTTACAAGTTTCGCCCCCACCCCATCCCCATTCTTTCCAAAACTCTGAATTAATTATAATTTCTCACCCCTATGTTCACACTGAATAAGTTAGCTAGGAAGCATGCCAATGAGCCCTGCGGATAGGACACCAAGGTTTCCAGAACACTTTTAACTAGTTCCACCTTTCTTCGGTCAGAATGCAAATCCCAGCAGCAGGAAGCATACGTGCCACCTCTGGATGCTTTAATTTCTTCGGTTGTTTCCGCTTACACAGCTGTAGTCATAATAACCACCGAAGAAACAAATGAGGCCACAGTGACTCCTTTTTCTCACCCCATGGTTGGTGACTTCTACAATGAGAGCAAATATCAGCGGGGAGAAACATTTCATGCATTTGGTTTTATTTGTGCCCTTCCACAGAATCCCAGGCCAAGCTCACCTCAATTGAAGATCTGACAGGCGGAGGCCTCGGTGAGTCTAAGGTCACAGATTACTACAGCCTCCCTTGCCAGACTCCGAGGCAGCACAGGGGCCCTCCTGAGGACACCGCCTCTGCTGACAAAGGCAGCAGAGACGGTCCCGAGCCCGGGGTTTGAGAGGAAAGACTTAGCCGAGGCAGCCTCCAGTCCTACCTGAGCCAGGCAAAGGGAGCAGCACCTTCCCGGCACTTGGTCTGGCTTGGGGAAAAGGGAGCAGCAGCAGAACAACACAAACAGGGTGTGGGTGTGTTTTCAGATGCCGCTCCAGGACGACCCTCTGAGAGAGGCAGGAAGAGACCGCAAAGGTTTGGGGGAAGCAACTGCTCGCTCCTCGTTTCCTCTCAACCTCTCTCTGGCCTCTTGGGCTCCATGGAGTGCAACCAGAGCATGTCTGGTGTCACCCTGACAAGCAGGGAATGCCAGGGGGAAGCCACCTCCCTCCTTCAGTTCAAAGAGTCTGCCCTTCCTGGCCTTGGAAGAGGAAGCCACCGGCCTAGGAGAGAAAAGGTGTGAGGGAGGGGGGCATGGAGAGGGGCTGGAGGGGGGGTCTCCCTGAATCAGGCATCAGAGTTTCACTGGCCTGCACCACTCCCAGAAGTTTTATGAGGTAAGTTTTCCTGTGAAACGTGATTTAGATCCATGATCTGGCCAATGAAGTTGGGGGTTCCACATGCAGCTGTTATCTTGCTGGACCGTCTGTTTCGCTGGCAGGCAGTTTTTGCTGTGAAGTGCTCGGACCAGGAGAGATGAGGCTCAGCCACTTGTATCATTTCAAGATGTGAAAGGCTCAGAGGACTGGAAGGATGAATGCCACCCCCAGCCACCAACCGTCAGGCCTGTGGGACGTAATTATGGAACAGCTGCAGGCCTGAACGGGTCCATAACAGACAAAGGATCCTTTTGGGACCATCCAGAAAATCAGAGGGAATCCTGAGGACAGAGGATGCTCCAACTTAAGAAAGAGCCTGGTTAGAATGAGCCATTACAGAAGGTCTCCAAAGAGGGTTTTCCTCAACTTTTTATTTCCAAATTTCATCTGCATATGTCAGATTCCACAAAAATAATAATAATAATGATAAAAAGAATCTTAAAACCTGTTCACCTCTCTTGAGGCAAAGGAACTAAAAACAGACAGACAAACCAAGGAGGAGCAAAACCCGACAGCTGCCCAAGGCAGGAGGCCGAGTTTTTCACAAAGGGAAGAGAGACAGGACTTGCCGGAATGTTTGTCCAAAGAGAAACCAAACAGGGCAGCCTGGAGGAGTCCACGAGCAGGAAGTTCCCCCACGGGCGCAGGGCGGTGAGCTTCTGGGGCCTAGGGCGGGAGGGGCCCCCGCATGGGCCCCCGGGGAGGCACCATCGGTCTCTGGGCGGGGCGAGGTGGAAGAGGGATTCGCTGGTAGCCGTAGGGAGGGGGGCGAGGGGGCCCGTTGTATCCGTGGGGTGGCATCAGGGGAGGTGGCCCACGCATCCCGTGGGGGGGCATGGGGCCGGGGTGACCTGGAGGAACAAGATGCATAGGCATTAGACAACAACCAAGAGCAGCGCCTGTGACTGCAGAAAGACAACGGCAAAACCAAAAAGATCAGCTTCCAGGATCCAGAGATCTCATCGGCACGATCACTCTCACAAACACGTGCACAGATTTTTTTTTTCCTTGCTTTCTCTTTCTCTCTCTCTCTCCCTCCTTGGGAATTTGAGGGAAATATTTTCAAGAAACCCTTGGTTTTGTGTGAAAGAGAGCTCCACAGGGAACTGTCCCCATTAATGGGTCTTGGAAAAATTCTATCAATAATTAAGACTCTAGCAACTTCTCCTTCGTGCATCATGCCAGTACACAGCACAGTACAGTCAAACCATCGGTTGAAGCCTGCAGCACAAGAGAGTTCATCACCCACATTAGCAGAAAAGGAGGGGCAAGTCTTGTTAAAGAGACTGGCTGTCTCACAAACTATTTAAAACCAGCGGCTTACACACATAGCGCAAAGTTAAACAACTGACCAAAACAAAACATAACAAAACAAACAATTATAGCTTCAGTGTGGTTGTCTGCATTTCACTTATACGGCTCTCAGTCAGACAAAGTTGTTGCCCATGTACTGTGCATGTTGTTTTATTCCCCAACCCTGCTGCTCTCCAGATGTCTTGGGATACCAACGGCATCATCTCTGGCCACCAAAGCACAAGGGACGTTCCATGGTGGGAAAGGGGCAGTTACTTAAATGATATACCCTCTTGGAAAAACGTAAATGTCTGAACTCCACTGGACTGAGGAAAGTACGACAAAGGCCTTTAAGGAAAAATCACACAGGAAGCGATCCGGAGGAAGATACCAGGAAAAGCCACGCTATTCGTTTGCAGCACAACGAAAGACGCCATGAACAAGACGTTGGCCCCAAAGCTTCGCCCGTGCTTACCCATCGGTGATCCGAAGTGAGGCCCTCGGGGTGGCATCCCCATGGGCGGGGGCCCAGGGTGCGGCATGCCAGGAGGCGGGCGGGGTGGTGGCTGCCCTCCTGCCCCTGGTGGCCCCGGATGGTGGGGGCCCATCCCAGGCATTCCGTGGTGGACCTGCATTTGAGGCATCCCTGGAAAGTCAACAAGATGCAGGTGTTACCACCAGCATGAAACAATGGGAGCTTAAGCAATACTGGTAATGGGGGTTTGTGATTTGCCATCATCACCTCCGCACACACTACGTGGCAGCTCACAAAACTCAGAAGGGAACCTAACGGCCATCTTGTCCAACCCCTCACAATGCAAGGATGGGAGGGACCCTTTCACAGGACTCTACCCTTCTCAGGTGGAAGGTGCCACCTCAACGCCCTCCACCTACAGCACTTCACTTAGAATGGATTAAACCATTTGTACCAGAGGATGGGACCTGAAGCAACAGAGTCAAACCACAGGGAAGAAAAAGCCAACTACCATAGGAGACGGCAAAGGGATTCAGCAGCAGTACAGACTGTCTTGGAGGGTGGTGGGATTTCCTATGCTGGAGGTTTTTAAGCAGAGGCTCAATGACCAGCTACAATGGAGGCTCCGGATTTCCTGGACCTAGAGGTGGTTGGACTAGATGACCCTTGAGTACACTTTCCAACTCTACAATACTATGAGTCACTTCCCAAGCCTCCAAATGAGAATCCAGGCCTCTTGTCCCCTCAGGCACTGTCTGGCCAAATCTCCTTTCTTCCTTCACAGGTTATTGAATCCAGCAAGGACGTAGAGATAGAGGAACGCCCAGCCCAAGCTGCTCAGGGCATATCTAGCCTTGTCCATTAATGAAAAAGACTCACAAGACTATCGCAGTGAGAAGTGTTGTGATTTTCTGCACAGGCAAAAACAAAAAGAACCCAAAGCACAAACCGTACCTGGATGCATCCCGCTGGGAGGGAAAGGATGAGGGTGGGGGGGATGCGCCCCTGCAGGAGCAGCTCCCGAAGGTGGTCCTGGGGCCCCGGCCCCTGGAGGCATAGGTGGGGGTGGCATGGCTGGAGGCATTCCTGGAGGCATAGCTCCTGGCGGTGGTACCGGTGGAGGGAACGAACCAGGTGGAGGGATCCCTGGGATGACAAAAGCCGGAAAATGTCAAAATACTGAAAAAAGCACACAACAAGCTGTCTTGCTATCATGAACAATGCTGAAACGACACTATTCCATTAAAATCTTTAAAAGTTTCACAATGGGGAGGGGGGCAACATTTTTTTTTTTAAATGGAAGATCCAACAAGAGAAGCCTGCCGCTTACCTGGAGGAGTGACTCCGGGTCCTAAAGAGGTAACAACTGGGGTTGGCACCGATGGAGGGGGAGGAGCATCAGCAAAGAGCTGATGAGGCCGGTCGGCCTGTGAGAGCGGGTTCTGGGCGGCCAGGAGGCGCTCGGCAGCTGAGCCGTGCCTCTCCCCCTTGGAATCTTTCTTGAAGGCATAGGAGACGGTGATGGGGCGGTTGCAGAGGTACTGTCCATTCATGGCCTCGATGGCCGCATCCGAGGCATCGAAGCTGGCAAAGTTGATGAAGGCGTAACCCTTGGAGTTGCCCGTGTCAGGATCACGCATGATCTTGGGGGTCTGCAGGATGACCCCAAAAGCGCTGAATGTATCATAGAGCAGCTTCTCATCGATCTCGGGGTCCAAGTTGCCAATGAAGATGTTGGCCCCCACGTCCAGGTTCTTGTTGTGGGCCGAAGCCTTGTTGACTCGGATCGGCTTCCCATAGAGTTTGATCATGTTCATAATCTTGATGGCATAATCAGCATCCTCTTCGCTAAGGAACTCCACAAATCCATACCCTGAAGAGAGACCATTGCAAAAACACCCAAATGGACGTGATCAGCTTTCAACTAGAGCCAACTAGGACTCTAACCCCAACACATACCTGCACCCCTCAAGGCCGCACAGAATCGGTGGCTTTGCTTACCTTGGTGCTGCCCAGTGACTCTGTCTTTGGGCATGTGGGTGTTCACGACCGGGCCTGCCTGGAGAAAAAGTTCCCAGAGGAGCGGCTCACTGACCTTTTCATCCAAGCCGCCAACGTATACGGTGGCATCTACAACAGAGAAAATCCCACAGTGGTTACGTGGGAAGGAAGGACAAGCACTTCGCAAGACTTGTAAAAGACCATTCTAGCCTACGTTTACATGTTCATACATAAGAAAACACCCTTTGGAGAAACCATCGGAGTTACTGTCTGGAAACAAATGGGGATACCTGACCATATTCACCAACACCCTGCTCTTCACTTTACGGCCTAGAATTTATAGTTTTATACCTAGCTTCAAATTCTCTTCCCTGCGCAAATTCCAGCTCAAATTTCTATACGGTGGTGCTGCACAAGCCTGGAATGAGAACTTTCATCGGCCTCAACCAGACCAGGGCTGGTTTCAGGAGGACTGTGCACTGTAGTCAGCCCTTCAAGGTGGAAAATCAATCCCCATGTACTGCATCGATCATATTATGGCATGCCTCCATTCCTGACCCCCTCCAACCCAAAACTTTGTGCTGGGTTTTAAACGGTGCCTCTTGAGGGCTGGAATACAGCTGCAGCGGTTACAATGCTGAACTACGGCAAATCTGCTCCTCAGCTAGGAAAAGGTCCCCCAGTGACCTGGGCTGAGCCTCTCCCTCTCCCTGGCCTCCCTCACAGGGTTGTTGTTGTTCTTGTTGTGAGGCTAAAAGGAGGAAGGGGGAGAGTCAGTCCTGTAGGGCCCCACTAAGCTCCCCGAGAGGTACAGCAGGATATAAATGTAACACCTCTCCCTAAAACGCTATGGGTTGCCTTTTGTTCTGCTGGAAACCACCCCTGAGTAGCCTCTGGTTAGGCGGGAGATATATAAAATAAATAAATAAACAAATAAGGAAATATGACTGCGATTATATTGCAACCTTTCTGGTCATTTCCCTATCACTCATGGGAGGATAATGATAATAATAAAAGCAACAACAAAGCCTGAATTTGGCCGTCCAGCTCCCCACCCCACCCCTCAAAAAAGGAAAATACACACACACACAGACACAAAAAACCTTTCCTCCATAATTTAATTCCACCCTCAAAAGCCAAATGAAGAGGACGAGGGAGAGGGTGAATGGGGAGGCCCCAGAAAACACCAATAACCCCTTCAGAGCCCCTTCTTTCCCGGGCGGAGGAGGGCGTTACATCCCATAATATTCCCCCTTGGGACCCAAACTCTGAGGGGAGGGGAAGTGGGGGACGGAGGGGAAGAGGGGAGCCCCCTCCCCCCAAAATTATTCAAGGGGGGGGAGCGTTACCTTGGTTTCTCTCAGAGATGGGCCCCGCCGCCATTTTGGCCCCAACCTCACACTTTTCCCCCTCAGGAAGCCCGGCGGCCTCCCGACTCTCACTTCCGTTCTGGAGCGGAAGTAGGGCGGCGGGCGGGCGGGCAAAGCGTCGCCGCCAGCCATCTTGGGGCCGGGAAAAAAAATAAAACAACCCCGTTTGGTCACTGGGAGGGGGAAAGAAAGCACCACCCGCCGTTTCCCCGCCCGACTCCCCTCAACGGCGACGACAAAGGGTCAACAGGGTGTAACAATTCTTGAATATAAGTTAAAGCTTCTTCTCAGAAACGACAAGGATAAAGTGCAAGGGAGGGCGCGGGAAGTTCCCAGCGCCGCCATTTTGAAAGAGGGCGAGAAGGAGGAAGGGTGAAGGTCCGTTAATTTTCCAAATAAAGTCATAATGAAAAAATAGCAATGACTTTCGTTTATCCGAATTTGAATGAACGTCGGCATTCAATTTTATTTCTATTATTACTTGCACATCATAAAGCTGCGCAAGCGCGCTCCTTGTTTTCGTCACTTCCGATGACGTCACCAAGACAGAATCGGGCGGGCCAATCAGCGCGAGCGTAACTCGTTGGTTCTTGCTGGCCATCCGCAAATAATCCCTTCCCGCTTTTTTGCTGCGCAGGCGCACTGGGAGTTCCTATTGGCGCATGCGCCGTTTTCGTTTCAACGTCAACATTTCTTTTTATCAATACATGTGAGCTTACGACGTTTCAAAGCACCTTGAGTTCACATTGCACCCCCCTCCACCGCCAAGACTAACTAGTGCCGTTGCCTGGGGCAACACAGCCCCCCCAAGGGTCAGGAAAGACTCTCTGGTTCCCCCTGGCGACTATGCCCGACCTTGCACTTTGCAAATACGGTAGTTATAAAAAGGAAACGAGAAAAGCAATAATGTTTCCTCGGCGTGTAAAATAGTTGATCAGAGAACTGGAAACTTCCTGTCAAAATGCATCCAAGACGTCTCTTTAAACTCAACTTTTGAAAGTAAATAGCTATCACTCTTTGCATGGAAGCAACCCAGGTGTGATTTGTTACATCCTCCTAAGTAACTCTGTTGAAAACGAGTTACTTAAAAAAATTGGTTGCAAACTAGTTATCTTACTTCCAGTTACTCCTGAGCTCTGAAACACATAATATGCTTTATGATAATACAAATAGTAACTATTATTGAATTCAATAAGTGTAAACTATATACATGGTGTATAGATAAATGAGGCAACACAGGATCACAATCTGAAGAAGGGACAGGTCCAAGCATTTTTTGCAGGCGGGTATTTTGCAATCTCTAAACAGGTGTTAGGTCTGTGGAAGACAAGATGCTTTGGGACAGAAATCATACAACTCATATTAAGCACACTTAGGTTTCAAAATACTGAACTTTTAATAGAGGCTCAAACAGAAATGTTGTTATAAAAATACACGGTGCAAGGGAAATGCTTTTTGTAGCTTTGTTACTCGTGTGCTTCATGCTACAGGCAAAATGTATATCAGCACAGAATTAGCATCAAACTCTCATTCCAAATGTTTTTCTTGAAAACAATTCCATTCACATAATACTGTTTTATTTTTTATTTTTCCTAGCAAGCACAAGTATTACACTTTATTTGAAGGGAAAATATATAATAGCAGGGACCAGGCACAAAAATGCTCTAAAATGCATTTAAGAAAGTTAGTTCAACTAATGAGCAGTGCATTGGCCTAAGATGTGTTATATTAATAGAGTAGCAACCTTCTCTGTCTTTCATTTCTTAGCAAACTTTAAAAAAATTAGACAAAGGGTTAGTCAACAAAGAAAACAATAGGAGAAAGACATCTAAACCACCCAAAAGGTTGTGCATTTTAGACTGCAATGTTAAGGCACCAGTCTTATGCACAAGCTGAACACAGTTGGATTTACCTCCAGGGGAACCTGCAAAAATCAGGTTACAGGTTGCAAATTGTGCTAGAACAGGGTTCATGTTTTCAAAATATTTGAAAAAGTGGGCCAGTGGCCAGCTGCATAAATGAGTCAGTTTCTGCATCACAATGAGGGCATAAAGATGTTCTAGCACAGCTACAACCTTCTAAATGTCCTTGGACTAGGTCCGGCTGGATTCATCACCGTGGCCTAGGGCTGATGAGGGGTGGAGGCCCACAACCTCTGGAGTGCCTTTCTAACAGAAACCAGCAGTGGGTCTGTCCTGAACATCTGGACTACCAAGGGGCAGGGAGCAAAGGCTCTCCTTCTTTCAAAAATCTGGAAGTGGGGCGGAAAGGACATGTCCACATGTTGCGGGCTATAAGGTCTACTCTGAGCACAGGGGAACCACAGGTGAGTTTTGCAAATTTGCATCTTTGGCCACTTAAAAAGCAGGCGGATTGAGCCATTCCTGGCTTGCAAGGGGAGTAAAATTAGTGGTGCATAGTGCTTTAACGGCCAAGAAACAAGGTATTATCAGCGTGATGTAAATTGATAGAAGCAGGCATCCTTTCCTTATTACTTTTCATACCATGATACAAGAAGGGTATTCTTAACTAATCACTGGGAGACAGTGCAGTATATTGTACCAGAGAATTTTACTCTCTCTTTTTAAAAAAAGATCTTTAGCTTATGATTGCTCCTTTATGTGATTAAGGCTTTGGAACAAAAGCTTATAAAATAAAACAAAATAAAAAAAATACTATAATTAACAGCAAATATGTAAAAGCAGCATCAACCTTTTGTCTTGGTCATATAAATGGAAATATTTTCCCACTACGGATTTTACCACGTCAAAAATATGTACATAGTAGGCCCTCGAAATACAGCGATAAACCAAACCAACAGTGCAAACATGATATACAGAAATGGAAGAGGAAAGCATGGCATCCAGAGGGACCAGCAGTCTCATTATTATTACTTAGGTACCCAGGCCAAACCGTATGCCTGGTGATATAGCCTTGACAATGGATAGAGTATATCAAGCATAGTAGCAGCACTGAATGCCATCCAACCATCCTGGGCTTGATGTTTACAAATAGCTTATTTTAGGCAGAAGGAATAAAGGTCCACACCTTTTTTATAACAGCCGCGTACTTGAATGCTGATGGCATCCGTGGCCATTTTTAGTGCTCCTGAAGAACAGTGGGAGGGACAGGCTTCCAGAAAACATTGAAACAGACATGACGACACCAAATATATTTCCATGCAGGGATTCCTAGTCTAAAAGCTTAGCAGTTCTGTCTGAAGGCAAAGAATTGGTTCAGAGTCGTCAAAACGGTGTCTTGTCTTAATTCACAGCCGAGACAGGCATGCTTTTTCAATGCCAAGGGCTGTACACAGTCCCACGTTATCTTCAAGGCTGTAAGAGGCAAGCCACTGAACTGCCTTACGTGCCCAGTTAAAAGGTTCTGAGCGATACCAATGCAAAGATACTGAATTCAAAAGTGGAGGGGAAAAACACGGGAGAAACTCAACAGGTTTGCCAATGAGTGTCCACCCTTCTCAGGCAGTTCAGTGAAGGAAGTAGGATGATCGTCCCAGGAAAAGCTTCGTTATGAAGTACCAAAGGGTGGGATCTGCCCATTCCTTAAGCTTTGCCCATATATCTTTCTGCATATACAGTAAATACTCTACCATTCTGAATTAAATCAAGACAGAAATAAACAGCAGCAACAGGGATAAAATCACAGTCTCTACGAAAAACATTTGGGGGGGGCGGGAGAGGAAGAAACGACTTTTCGTATCTCTGTGTGGAGCCCCAACACTCCTGGGTGTTTGTAACCCAGGTCTGGTGAACTAGCGACACACAGCAGAGCAGACGTGGCGACAGATATATATATATATACTGTATATAAAGTGCTTAAGGAAAAAAAAAATCAAAGTCACCTGAAACCAGCCAGAGACATCGGCCTCCTGTTTGTAAAATGCGTCCCAGACTAAAGACAGGTGTGCAGACAGACCAGAAAGGCCTTTAAGGCAGTTTTACAGTATTATTTATTGCTCATCCAGGCAGGAACGATCTCCCTTTGGGGGAAAAGTCCTGACAGTTCCCTCGATCAGGGATCCCATTCAAGCTATTTACGGAGCCCATCTGCCACAGAGTTAGGACCCATATTATCTTAGTACCTGCATTAAGCCAGCCAGGAAGCTACCCCACCCAAATATTCTGTACTGTTTGGGTCGGTGCAATAGATGGGCCCTAATCTTGGAATGTACTGTACCTTTTGGGCAACACAGAGAGAGCCCTCCCCACCCCGTTTGAATGGAGAGGCATACTCTCAAAGGTCCAAGCTCACCCAGCGACCCCCAATACCAGAGAAGGAAGCTAAATCTCAGTTTTCCTACAAAAACCAAGATCTTAATACTGCTGTTTCTTGACAGAATCTGGAGGGAGGTGAATCACCCTCCCCTCCTGAAATCCAAGAATTGGGGGTGGGGGGGTGTTTAATACTGCTGTGAAAAATTGTCAGCATTAGAGGGTGGCCCACCCAGGAGGCGGCGGCCGAGTTCTGGTGAGCCCACCTAACAGATCTATCTGGGCAGCGGGGATCCTGGCAAAAGAGGCTGGGAAAAAAGATGGAAACGGATTTGATCCACATCTTCCGTGGAAGGCTGCTTTTGGACTACAACTCCCAAAATCCCCTGATCAGGACTGGAAAGGGTGTTCTGGGCTTTGTAAGCCGGACAGGTACCGTGTCCAAGCATTTATAGGATCCAGCATGAGATTTCTTCTCTTCCCAAGCCTGTGATAAATACTCAGCATCCCAGTTCTAGGGTCTACATTTCAGAAATACGGGCTCTGTACTTTTGACTTGCACCTATAAAACGGGTCGGTGGACCATGGGATTTCTAAAAAAAGACAAAATTAACAGGCCGGTGGGGGTGGGGGGGGAGAATGCAGGGCTAATCAACACAGCTTTTGCTATTGGGTGCCTCTGAAAAATGCTGATCCTGTAATACGATCAAAGCGGGACCTTTAAGAGGAATACAAGTTTAGCAGGATGAGGACAAGAGTAAATTGGTTTGATCCACTGAACGGGGCGCTTTCAAAACGTACCAGGCTCAGTCCAATCACACTCAGGGCGTTCCGCCGTTCTTCCTGGAAGTAAATGAGAGTGTGAACCGGATATTGGCTTCAGAAACAAGGTCCCTGGGAGCGGAATTACAATCGCCATGGGAATGGCCTCCAGAATCCAGCTGATCGCAGCGGCCTTCTGAAGGAGGAGCACCAGGGAACGGTCCCCGTTCGGCCGTAGATATTCAGAAGGCAGAGCCCACCTTTGAACGGGACCGTTGAGGGAGCTCCAGGCCTTTTCCGACCGCTCTCAGTGTAGTTTTCTGCCCCGTCTCAAGAGCAGGATGGCAGCTTCTTCTTCGCTGCCTGCAGCTGGTCTTGGAGGCGCTCCAGTTCCTCTGCCAACCCCCTGAGACTGGGAGCAAAGAGACCAAGCTGGAAGGAAAGACATGTGGACAGTTTTAGAAAGAAAAAAAAATCAACCCCAAATTCTGAGCATCAACAGCATCTCCACTCAGATGGGAGGGGAAAAAAAGACCCAGTCCTGTATTCTCCCTCCCAGGAGAAGGAGCCAGCCTAGGTAGCTGTTTACTGAAAAATAAACAAACAAAAAAAATAATAAAAATCCTGAAGCCCTTGGGAGTCCTTTTAAGGAGAAAGGCAGGCAGGAGAGAAATATTTTAAACAAATGAAATCCAATAATACTTTGGCCAGGAGATGGTGGCAGCCGTCTCAAACTGTAATTCTTGTCTTCTTGTCATTTTTGGGTCACACCGTTCCCGACTGTTGCATTTCCGGGAATTCCATGAAATAGGCCCCACCACCCTAAATCTGTCAATTTTTAAGTGGCATTTTTTTTGCCTTTCCAGAATTAAAATGTCATCAGCCGGCTGGCAGATGTGACCAAAAGTTTCAGACCAAAGAGATCCATAAAACAGTCGCTGACTAATTTGACAGGAATTTCCATTCAGCTGCGGGGAAACGTTCCATTTTCGATAACAAAACCCCAAATCCCCTAGTCAGTGGGGGTTTGAATAACGACCCAGAGAATTCCCTAGCCAGTGGGTTTCTGGGCATGGTTAAAAAATAAGCTTCAAAATTCCCCTCTCCGTACTATAGGATGTTTCTAAAACTGGGAGGAAAAACAGAAAAAGACGACACCACGGCTGGAAACATTGCTTTTTGGACTACAGCTCCCAGAATCCACAAGCCAGCATGGCCATATGGATAAATTGGGTCCCCCAATGTGATGTTTTTCAACCTCAGGAGGGAGACACCTTGAGCAGCTTCCAGGGGAATTAAAAGCACACCCGTCTCTGGCAAGCAAACCCCAACGACGTTGCCCCTCCTGTCCGATTCTTACCGGAAAGTCTGGGTTCCCCCGAAGGTAACACCTTCGCCACAGGCGGATCCTGGGCCCCACCAGTGAGGGAAGGAGGAGCGGCCCGTCCTGGCAAAGGAGCCAGGGGCTGGCTTTGCCCCACGGGGGCCTCTCCTGTTCTCCAGATCCTTCGGCCAGCGGAGCCTGGCGGGTCCCCTTCTTGACCAGGGATCCGTTTTTCCAGGGGAAAAAGTGAGTTTGCAACGCGAGGCTGCCCTTGGAGAAGACGTACAGGGTCCCTTTCCCTGGGGGAGTGTTTTGCATCTGGGGGGAGGGGGAGAAACAAGGATGAGAATCTCACAAAGCCCCAGCAAATGAGAAGGGACACCCCCCCATCTTCAGAGCCTGGGCATGTGACTCTTTCCCATCACAACACCTATCATCCACCAGCCAGAAAAGCTATGATTATCTGTCAGAAACAGGGTGCCAGATTCAATGCCAGGTGACATTCCCGGGTCCGGCCCCCTTGCAGACCGCCGTCCAGCCCTCCGACACACACACACCCGAAGGCTATTAGGAGATGGACTCAGGATGCTCTCTGGCTCTGAATCTAGGGGCCGGGGGGGGGAAGAGAGAAAGGCCACGGGCCAGCAGGGGGACAGACCCTGATGCTCTTCCACACACAGAAACATCCCCACGGACCTGGTACCCCTTTGGGGGCAGGAAGTTCCCATTCAGGGCACGTCCACCGCCGGCGGGGCTGCTCCGCAGGAAGAAAGGGTTCCTGAACTGGGCCCTCTGGCGGGGGCTGTAGCTGACCGCCCAGTCCCAGAGGGTCGGCAGGTGGGCGGCCTCCGCGGCCTTGCTCTCCTTCTGGAGGATCTCCAGGCAGAGGTCTTCCCGCCAGCCGTTGATGGGAGTGTACAGTTGGTTCAGGAAGCGGTTCTGACACCAGAGAGAGAGAGATCTTTTTTAAAAAATCAGCATTTTTTAAACTCTTCCAACTCTATTGATGTTAACATCCCAGGAATAAGCAACAGCCTTTTGGACGATGTCTCTTGTAAGGACTGCTGCATTTGCCGCCCCCCTCCTCAACCCCATCTTTAATCAAGGATTTCAAACTGAAGCAGAAGAAAAAAAGAAAAATCCCAGCCAGGCTTTTATTGACGTCCCTTTTTTCACAGACTCACTTGGTTTTTCCGTCCTCTTTCCCACTGGCAGTTGAAGAGGAAAGTGGAGGCAAAGGGGAGGTAGCTGCTGTCGTGCAAGGCCACCAGGTAGGCGTCCGTGAACTCAAAGGCGCGCGGGAACTGTTGCAGGAGCTGCCAGACACAATCCAGGAAGAGCAGGAAAACAGGCGACTGGAAAGGAGGGAAAGAATAAAAAAAAACAGTGACCCACAATTGTGCTCCTTCCTTCGCCTGCCCTCTCCCTCTCTCTTCCTCCAGAGACGTGGACTCTGACTTGAAGGAAGAGGAGCCCTTCAGCAAACAAGGGCTTAATGTTCAAGAAACATCCATGGCTCTAGCGGGAAAACCACCCACCCTCCTTCCCGTTCCTTTGGGTTGTGCCCAAAAGTATGTTAGTTTCCCCCCAAAACGGATTAGGGCACAGGGTGGGCTCACATAGGAGCGAATGTTACCTCCTCCCGGTCATTTTTCTGGAGCAGGTTGAGACGTTGCTGGAAGGGGTGTCCGGCCGCCACCCACTCTTTCTGGATTAGGCTCTGGAATCCGGATATGGTCCTTGTGTGTGGATCCGAAAGAACTTGCACCAGGGAAGCCAGCAAACAGTTGAGGTCCCTGTCATCTGATTCTGGCAAGCAGAGAAAAAGGACAATTGAACAACAAGGGGCAACCCCCCCCCCAAATGAATACGTACTTAGACCCTTTGCTTCCGTGAAGATCTCACCGAGTGGAAACGGCAGAAGCCGAAGAAGGTGGGAAAAGTATGTTTCCTGCTTCCGAGATGTACCAGGAATGGAGGCCCTGATCCTCCTTGGAAGACTTGCCTCCTGCATGGAATTGGACAGGGCTGTCCGCCCAGATATGTCTCTGACTGGTAACTTTCCTGTATTTTCTCTAGGCTTCTTCCACCAACTGACACTATCATTTCCCTCTGAATGGAGGCCCTGATCCTCCTTGGAAGAAGCACGTCCTGTTTGGGGCATTCCCACCCAGAAAGCGGTCCCTCCCCTCCAGACCTTCTTTAGGGAACTTTTAGGGGAGGGAATCTTGTCTCTACCTTGCAGTACAACGGACCGCTTCCTCTCAGCTAGCAACACAGCCACTTCGCTGGCCTTCTTCAAGCATGCCCTGGCGAGGGAAGCAACCATTAGAACATCCTCCGTTCATTTATAAGAGATGGATGGAGAGACGGACAGACAGGAGACACACACACACTGAAAGACACACGGAACACACACCTCATCTCTGCCGCAGCATTCTGCGTTTCACATTTTTAAAGGGGACTATTTTGTATGCCTATTTTTTATGATTCTACTATAAAAATTTAATCTGACCTCTTCTAAAATCAGAAGCATTTTTGTTGACAGTGCGGGCTGGATTTTAGCAGTTTTATTTTATTTGCTTTTATCTACTGCTGTGAGCAACAGAAAGGAAGCTTACTAAACTTCAGTGATTTTCAACAAAGAGTTGAAGAAGAACATTACTTCTGTGATCCAATGGTTGGCTTGCAAGAGAGCAAGAACTCCCTTCAGAATCTGTTGGGCTCACCCAATAAAATAAATCTGTCAAGGTTTTAGCGGATGAAATGGGTTGCAATTCGCCAGTGTTTATGCCACACATAAGACTGAACACGCAGCTACTTTCCTGGAAATAAAAATGGTTGTTTAAATCCAAACTGGACACGCCCAGTGGAATTCCAAATATAGCAACAGACGAAGGCTGGCAGGGAAGCAGGAAAACCTCAGGTGAGCTTTCCTAACCAGGAAGAAATGGAAAAAAACAAACAAACAGAGAAGAGGTCTTCAGGCTGCTTCCAATTCCTCCGAGTGGGGCATATTTGGTGAAACGTGACAGCACTCTATCGGAGGAGGGGGGTTCTGTCTGTCTGGACGGTGGTGGGGGGAGGCACTCCGGGCCAAAGTCCCTTCTCCAATTCTGCCTTTCCAAGGAGTAAACCCTTCGCCCCTCTTGGGAAACGCCCAGGCGTTGTGCTTTCCGGGCAAAGAAGCCCAAAGCTGATGGGCTACGTGCAGGAAACGCTCCCGCGTCTAACCTGCCTCACCTCACGTGCTCCAACCACCGCGTCCCCTCCAGGCTGGAGAGCCACTTCTCGTCCGAAGGCGCGGCCACGGAATCTGGGGAAAGAGCAAGAACTGTGCCACGGGATCAACGCCCCCCCCGGCCCCTAAAATAAAGCGCTCAGGGGTTGTGCAGGGAAAGAAGACCCCACTGAGTCATTTCTGTGGGTCTCTATGCGGGCACGTCCATGTGCGCGTTGGCTATCTAAGTAGTCAGCAGACCCAAAAGGTCCTGGGTGGGCAGGTTTTCATTTTGGGGGGGGGTCTCGCTGGTGTTCCAAGGGGAGCAGAGATTCTCCTGTCACCCTTCTGACTCCTCCCTAACCCCAGGGGTGGAGTCGAGCCACCCTCTCCCTTCTTGCCCTTTGTGGCTCCAGCGCCCCTCTTCCCCAGCTCCCCTCACAAGGGGGGGGGCGCGGAGGGACGGCCCTGATCCCCGCCCGGCTCCTCACCGGCAAGGCAGAGACTCAAGGACCACAGTTTGGCGTAGGCCTGCTGGACCTCCGCTGGGGTGGGGAGATCGGCCGCCGTCTCCACGATCACGCACTGAGAATGCCCGGCCAGCATCAGCGTTTCCACCGACCTGGGGAGACCCAACAGGGAAGGCAAAGGGGTGGAGCCCAGGAAGTGGGGGCTGGATGGGGCCTCCACGATGGGGCCAGAATGCACTCATTTCTGGTGACCTGGGTTCCAAACCCTCCTCTTTTTAAAAGGATCCAGCATGGCCAGGCGAAGAGATTCTGGGAGCCCCCCCACCTCTCTCAGATCAAGGGCTTCTCCAGACTCACCCCCCACCCCCCACCCAAGGCCCTGCCCTACGGAGAACCTACCTCATGTCTTCTTTTTCTGGGTCTGAATCAGGATGGAAGCTGGCGGCTCTCAGCAGATCGCTGCCTCCTGGGTGATGCCAGCTCAGCCTCTGGGCAGAAGAAAGGTGGGCAGGGGAGAGATAAAGACCGGAACGCCACGCCAGAGCATCTCCTGACCTCCATGTTCCAAGCCTTCGCCTCTTCCACCAACACAGCCCCCTCTTTTCCTAGACGTCCTTCCCCCACTGTCGTGCTCAGGGCTTATTTTTACTGCCCACCTTTTCAGATCGCCCTAGGCGAGTTCCCACACCATGCAAAGAAGCCGCCCTTGGAGCACAAGGACTTATGTTTTGCCCGTCTCGGCTCTGAGAGCTAGCGAGATCTCCAGATGGACCATTCCTGGAAATGCTGGCAGCTGGAACTCCTACGTTTCAACTACAATGCCCAGAATCCACCCCCCTGGGGGTTGTGATCTTATTCTAAAAAGATAGCTTTCCCAAGCGCTGGACGTTTCCCTTCTCTCCACCACCTCCCAAAAAGCCTTCAAGCCCCAGACTCACCGGGATGCGCCTTTCGTTGAAATGCACAAAGGCCCTCTTCAGTTCATTGTCCAGAGATCGACTGGGAACCAGCAGGTATTTGGGGAGGCTGCGGGGGAGGGGGGGAGACAGCAGAGGTTTGGCAGTCGGGGGTGGAGTTGGAAAGTGTAGGGCATCTGTTTCGAGGGTGGTAACTTTGAAAAAGCAACTTTTCTGACAGGTATTTCCTTCCTCAACCTTCCCCCCCCCCCGTTCCATGCCTGTCCTTCGTGAATTTTATCTTTATTCTGACATGTTAAGTCATGCATTCTTAGCTTGGATGTTCTAACAATAACAAGAGCAATAATATTAATAAACTCCGAATCTGCTTTCCACTTCCTGGGAGCTGTGCAAAGCCTCTCCTTGGCCTGCAGGGGCGGAGAGCGCAGCTTCCCCCACACCCCATCCTGGGGGCGGGAGGGTGGGGGGAATCCAATGCCATGTGGGTTTTGAATCTATTCCGCCGAAAGGAGGTGAAGAAAGCCGGAAATTTGGCCTCTCGGCTCCCAGGCTCATCATTTGTTTAATCGCGTTTCCTCCTGGCCAGCTGCAGAGGCCATGTGTTTAAAAAGAACGCCACAAAGACAAATATGTTAAAAACACACCCACAACACAGGTAGAAAATGGAAGCAACCTCCGAATGGTTCCACTTTGTCATCAAAGACAAATCGATGTGAGGAGTCTTAGAGCGAAGAGGAACCTGCCTCGTGCCGTTATTTATTTATTGGTTCCTCAGTACTGGATGGGACCCTCGTCCCAGCAGACTCAGGAATCGGGGGGGGGAGGGGTTTAGGCGCTGCTGCCAGCCTGGGGGCCCCGGCCTCTCCCCCCTGCTTGGCTCCCTACCTGGTGGACATGTCGAAACGCTCGTTGGCCGGGCTGACCCTCCAGCCCTCGGCCCCCAGTCGCTTCAGCTCCTTCTCCCAGTCGCAGAGGGACTCAAACAGGAGGGTCGGGGGCTCTTCCTCCTCTCGGCTGGCCTGGCCGTTTTCTGGAAGAGGGGGAGGCAAAATGTCCCCCCAGTTGGCTTCCGGTTCCCACAGAGAGAGACTTCGGGGGAGGTTGATCCCCCAACCACGCACCCCCTGGGGCCAGGCAGTGGGGGGCCGACCCCTCTCGGGATTTGCTCCCTGCCCGGGGGCAGGAGCCACAAAAGCTCAAGGCAGAAAGAGAAACACCCCCCCCACTCGTCCCGTTCCCCCCGCCTGCCCCCCAGGACGGACGGCTGCTTTGCTCACCCAGGTTCTTCCAGGCGACGCTTTCATAGCTGCCGTCCCAGCCGCTGCTCTCCTGAGCCTGGGCGATGGCCATGGTCACCTGAAAGGCCAAGATCCCGGGGGGGGCAGATTAGGGCCCCCGGTCGCTCTGCTCCACCTAGCAGCAAAACGGAGGGGCTCCTGACAGGGAAAATCCAAAGTGTGCTACTCCCACCCATGTAGAGGCCTCCTGCCCCAACCTTTCCAACATTTCAAAAACAGCAACAACAACAACAACAACAGCAGCAGAGGCTATTAAAGCAGGAACACTCCTGGGGAAGTTCCTGGTTTTGGACAAAATTCCTAGTGTCCCCCCCCAGATGTTAAGCAGCAGTTTTTTTCCAACCTGTTATGGTCAGTCCAGACCACCTTTTCCTCACCCACAGCAAGCTCTCCAGAATTTAAGGATGTGCAAAAGGGTTCCTAAGAACAGGGCTTGGAAAATTCCCCCTTTGGGGTGAACCATTGTTCCCAGCTGGGGGATTCTGGGAATGGTAGTTGCTTCCTCTTTGAAAGGGGACGTTTTCAGGATCGGGTTTGTCCAGCCCTTGCGGGGGAGGGGGGGCGTGATGGTTCCCCTCGGGGACATTCCAGGGCTTCCCTCTCCTGCTGGAAGGGCAGGCTTCCCTCTCTCTTCCCCCCCCCCGAGCGACTGAGACTCACCCGGAAAGCCTGGGGCTCCAGGCCGCTCTCGTGGAAGTGGTAGCGCAGCAGGCGGAAGTCCCGGCAGAAGACCAGCAGCTCCTCCGGGATGAACTTCAGCAGGGAGGAGCTCGTCAGCACCTTGGCTTTGGCAAAGCTGTGGACTGGAGGGCGGAGGAAAGGGGCTGAGGAGC